TGCATTTTTTTTCAAATTCCTTAGTATTTTGTGCCAAATCTGGAACCTTTATAGATTTCAGGAGAACTTTATTGGATTCAGAGCTGATTTGCTGATATTAACTTCTGATGATGCTTCAGTCTTCTGCAGTACTTTTGTTATGTTGTTTGGTTGATTAATTTACTTAACTGCATGCTGATATATTCTTTTAATTACTTTTGGGGCATGCTCTAAAGGCAAGGAGGGCTCTGAAGGCACTTAAGGGACTGGTTAAACTTCAAGCGCTTGTGAGAGGCCACTTTGTCAGGAAACAAAGCACAGACATGCTTCGACGCTTGCAAGCTTTGGTTCGAGTCCAGGATCGAGCTCGAGTTCACCGTGTACTAAACTCAGATTCACCAAATCATGTAAGGCTTATTCCAAAATCTTCTTCTCCACATTGCAACTCTAAGCTGCAACCCTACAGTCCTGTCCTGTTATGCACAAAAGATAAAGAGTTGATTTTGATAATTATTTTTTTGTCCTTTTGGGATGCAGCGCTTATTCAGTTATATGAACACACAGAGAGACACGCCGCCACACCAAAACAAAGGAATTAAAAACAAAATGAAAGAAAACAATAAGAAAAAAGGATGTATATTTTGGAAAATGATGGAACCTAAAGGACATGAACAAAATGTGCATTGCATTCTTTGGCTTGTTCTTAAGACCATATGTGATTACGGATGTCATCTATTCATGATATTTGGTACTTGTTTAGTGTTGGATGACAATGCTATTCCTTGAATTGGTTGAACATATTTTATGATTGAAATTCCTCTAATTTGAATCACCGTCTTAACATAGATAAGTATATATGCAGTATTTCATAATATCTAGGATTTACCCATCTACGAGTATTTTTGTTTTATTTATTTATGTATCTAGGATTGCATTAAACATAGTTTGTGACTTCTGCAGGACCAGGAGAACTCCAGAAGTTATGAAATCTGTGACACTAGTGAAAAGCTTGAGGATTCTCCTATCATCAAGGTATTGATTGTTTATATGCTTTTTACAAACACCCTTAGTTTTTGCAAATTAATAGACTGAGTTAATGATCACAAATCAATGGTTGGTGTTCATAAATTAGAATGCTTTCTCAAAAAGAAAACCATTAAAGACTCGTCTTTATTTATATGTTAATTTCCAAGCTTTTAAATAACCAATTGACATTGTCATGTATATATTCTGTTATGCAGAGATGTGGAACAATATCAAGCTACAGAGAGGCAAAGAGCAATGAGAGTAAACTTTCAGCTACAAATTGGGTAGATAATTGGGTGGAAGCTGGATCTTCGGTGAACAGCCCAAGCTCGATCAAGATTCCTCGTGCTGATGATGAAAAGAGCGACAAAATCCTTGAAGTTGACAGTTGGAAGCCTCACTCAAGACCCAAAAAAACAAGAAACTTGTCATTGCAGCAGCCAATGATGCAACACATTTCAGTGCAAGACTACCACAATCGCAGTTTTGCAGCATCTGATCACCTGGCAAGGTATTGCCTGAATGATCTTTACAAACCCAATTCAAGTCCATGTGCTGAGGATGTTGCTTCAATGAAATCCCTACAATTTCCCCTCGAACCCTGCACTGCTGAGAGCAGTCCACCAGATAAAGCTTTATCATCAGCTCCTCGAGGGTTTGGTAGCTCTAGAAGAAGTCCCAAGACCCCTTTGAGGCATGAATTTTCTAGTAAAAGAAGCCTATGGAATGGATATGCAAGTTTTGCAAGTCCTAGCTATATGGCTAACACGGAATCATCTCGAGCCAAGAGTAGATCCCATAGCGTGCCTAGACAAAGAGGTGATATTGATTTTGAGAAGCGTAGGTCTATCAAACGGTCCCTTCACGCATTTTGGCAGTCTACTACTTCATCCAAAAAGAACTCAGACCCTTTTGCTAACTTGTGAAAATATTGAAAAGCCTAATAAAAGCTAAACTGGTTAATTCTGAGTTTAGGAATGTAACTATTGCAATGCTTTAAGAATTCCACTTACTTTGGGATAGTGTAGTTATAAACTTTTAATTATGGAGGTGTTCAAACATGATTATGTGGGTGTTTTGTTTTATTAATGTTTTATAATTAGGCTTAAGGTTGTAAGAGTGTTCATAAATCATGTTTGGACATTTTGATAATAGTAATATGCTCCGTAATTTTCAATGAATGAAGACTGAAGTTTTATCTATTTCTACAAATAGGAGAAAAAAGTCTGTTATTGGAGTTGCCCAAAGGCTTGTTTTGATCTATTTTTGCATAGATTGGACCATTGAATACACAAAATTTTGGATGGATTCCTTCATTAAAAAGACAAAAGGAGATGACATTTTTTGGCAATTTCTTTCATCCATTCACACATGTAGAATGGATACAAGACTTTGTTTTAACCTTCTCTTTTGCCACGAATTTTCCTTTTCATCTTACGATGACCTAAATGTTTTCCCATCAATGCACCTTGTCACATTATGTCGCGGTGGTATGTTAACAAGTGTACGTTGTACTCCTACATTGGTAATTAGGATAAAATTTGTTGCCTGTAAGGGGATTCCTTTACCTCCCCCTCTATTCTCAAGCGTTGACCTGTATTCAATCGCTAGTTTTCCAATTATTGTCCATTTGTCTGATAGGACCGGCCTTCTCGTATAAAAATGAAAAAATTATTGCATCCTTATTTAATTTTTTTGTATGCACTTCATTTGTATTCGAGGTTGGCAGGCTTCTTTTTTATGGCAAAATCTTGCACTATTCATTAATTTCCCATTAATCAAGCCGCTTGCTATTAGAGGCAAGACTAAAGTTCTCTTTTTGGATGGCTCACCCCTTTGATATTTAGGCGCACACATTTAATCAAAATACTTGTGGAATCCTAGAATATTACCCTAAGTTTCTACAAATATGAAAAGCTATAGTATATGTTGCCAATTTTATTCGAATAGCTCTCCAATCATTGCAATGCAATTAATATGATACACTACCCCATTCTTAATCTTTTTTTACCCCAACTTGCTTATTTAGTTATTTTATATTTTGATTTTTATCTTAATGTACCATTATCGCATCCAATACAAGTTAATTGACACGACATTACAACAACACATTACAAATCAATCTAACATGATTACATGACTATATAATTAACATTCACTTTAATCAAATCACCGATTATGAGACCATAAGCTAGTACTAAGTGCTAGATTAGTAGCCTACGTTATTTCATCACGTCAAATCCCAACTTTTCAACAAGACAAACATTCTCAATGTAGACTGAATCTATCACTGCAAAATCACGGACTACCTGAAAAATCTTCATTTTTTAATTTATATTATTTAAGTAATTCTATATAATATTTCTTGGCATTATATTTGGAGGGCAAAATTTGTCCTACAAATAAACGTCTCCACAATTTGTCCTAATTTGGGCATGTATACCACACATGAGAAAGATTTGCACCGTCTTTAATGGAAAAAAAAAACGCAGCAAATAAACAAAAAATCTAGACGTTGGATACCCACAAAAATCCATTTTATTATTTTGGTTCCCTTAGAAAATTAAATGACTAGCTTCTAAAATATGGTACAAAAAGGAATTTCACTAATTTACATTTGGACTAATATTATTTTGTCACAGATATATGAAATTATGAATATTAAGGATTTTTCTTTACTCTTTTGTGCGTGTCCACCCCTTTTTTTTTTGTCTATATCAAAGTTTATGTACTAGAGTTTCATTTAGCTAGGGAAGCCATTAATGCATAGTTTTAGCATGTGAATTCTCTCAACGTGTATGTATTAATAGTTTTAGATGCCATGTAGGGGGTGATGATAGAGACTAGGGTACGCGACGCGAGCGAGTGGGGTGTAATGGCACTTTCATCGTCGAGGAATGTTTGGCAAATTCCGGGACCGGGAGGTGCAAAAAAATCCAAGTACCAAATCTTCGACGAAAAAGGTGTATATGTTGCTATGTCGGTACTCTATTTGATTATGTAACATATATTGTTTATGGTGGTATTTTGGATTATTCTTGACTTGTCATGTCGTAAGATTATTCAGCTCATCATATATCACACCAAATAATCAAGAATATTAACATAAATGTCTGATTAACTTATTTTCAAAAAAAGAAAAAAGGTCCAATTAACTAATAATGCTACGGACATACTCTTTGAGTAAAGTTACAAAAATACAAAAACCGTCAAAACATTATCAAAGGATCAACTACGTACAAAGTTTATTGATAGTTCTAATATAAAATAATTATTATAGTCTACGATATTATCACGTACCAGAAAACCAATCACAACAATTTATAAACGAAGAGAGTAATGTCATTTATTTAACCTTGGTGCTTGTCTTATACTTAATTTAATCGAATCTCCTAAATTAATAAACTAGACTATACGAGTACCAAGTATAGTATAATAGTGTTAAATTGTGATTTAAGGGAAAACCTAGTAGAGTATAAAGATGTGAGGTACATCATTCGCAAAGAAACAAAAGATGTTGTTGGTTGGTAATCCAGTAATACCCGTACAAATCGGTGGTACAAATAAAAGAGTCACACGGCTATAACACAACTCGAAACCTGAACCCAATTATGCCCCTCACACTCAATCAGCCCACCACTTGAAATATACCTTGCAGCTTTTTCGATTTTGGGCCCATTTTTTTTGACTTTCTCTCCAACCCAACAATTACACATCTTTTACTCTTTAAATGGTAAAAAAAATAAAAATAAAAAAAAGTTTTTACAATTACACATGTTTTTTACTCCATATTGTGGACTATGAACTATGGAGTAATTGTAACATATTTTGAATGAGGAATTGAGGAGATATTATTGGTGACCATCTAAAATTAACTTATTAGTAGTATTGTTACGGGTATAGATGTCTTCTCTTCATATATTTTATGCAGAGGTTGTTTGTTGTTTGTCTGTTATTGTTTATTTGAAATATATATGTGTAAAATTCTTCTATTGTAAGCAAAAAAATAATAACAAAGATAAGTTTATATGTGGATTCATGTAATTCCGTTGTTCGTATGCACATACTCTTTAAAACTAACTTTATTTTCAAATATCAAGGAAATACTATCTTGAATAATGAGATGAAGATTGTACATGTGAGTAGTAACTAGTAAGCCTTATAAAGCTCTTTATTTGGTACCAAGGCTACAATGCTACATCCAATTCTTCACATCTTGAGTCACAGTATGCTGCATAGCATGGAAATAGCAGTCTTTAGATGCATACTAACACATGCGTTATAATTCAATGTATAAACATTTCAAGTAGTACTGATGTGCTTAAAAAAAAAAAAATATATCATGTTGCATAATTACCAATAAAATATAATTATAACTTACATTTGTTCCATTTCAAAGTGTGAGGCATTTTTCTAAAAATTCAATCAAGATTCAGTCAAACCAAGAGATCAGACTAGACCAGTGACTTTTAAGGCTTAAAAAAAGAAACAACTACTGTATAATTTAAAAGTTTATTTGAACAAAACTTTAGTTGTTTCAAATTATATAAAAACATAAGGGTGACTTTTATATGATTTAAGTAGTATTTTATTTCAATGTATATAAGCGTGATAAACCTTGTTGTATGCGAGAGCTAGTGAGCTACTATTTAAGAATCTAAGCTTTTATATGAATGGTTAGTTTATTAATTATGTCAAATGCGGGTCTGGGTCGCACCCGCAAATCAAGAGAGAGAGAGTTCACTTCACAAGTACAAGGAGGTTCCATCCCAAAACCATATGGCAATAGGAGGAGTAGCCCCTTAGCCTTATAAAGTGTTTATCTCTCTCTTCTTCAACCAATGTGGGACACTTACATGTGGTGACACTTGAAAAGTTTATTCTTCAACAAATTATTACATTACGTTTGACAGATGGAGAGAGAGAGAACATACCTAGTACAATCAATGGTGGGCTCAATGACAAAGCCCAAAGAAACTCCACAAAAGCCCGGCAAAGTAGCAATGGAAGTAGCGTCTGGACTATAAGCTGCAATTAGGCCCATCATACACTTGCATAAGGACCTCCTGTTTTCAGGTGTGTCACCCAAATTACTCAGGCCCACAACCGCATCACAACACGACGACCCGGGAAGTGGGTCCGGCGATCCGTAGCTAATGAATACCGAACACGTGTTCAAGAGCTGAGTCACCGTTGTACAGTCGACATCGGCCCCCACCTTATGCCACATGGCATTTGATACTAATATTACTAACCATAATCCAAATATGGTTGTTAACCTTAAGCTTGGATAATCCACCATTTCTTTTGTAATGAATATTGAGCAAGAGTTATTTTAATGGTGGAATATTTGTGTTTACTTCTAAAATAGTTGACAAACTAGCTTGGTTAACTTTTTGTAGGGTTTTGAAGTTTGGTGAACAATGAAAATAATGTGTTATTTCATGAAAGTTGAGTGAGTCTAATTTAAATATTTCTTAGCGTTTATTTGAATAAACTTATATTGTGATCGACTTGTGATAGATAAAAATTTTAAATCATCATTAATAGTTCATTCTAAAGTAATATTTCAACATGGATTTATCATTTATGTTGAATAGTTTGAAAAACTTGGGTTATCCGTGATACATCCGAATCGGTATATTCATTGGGCGGGTCTAACCCATCCACAAGTCAAAATATCCCATGCCAACTCATGATCAACCTAATCCAACCTGCGACCCAGCCTGGCTTATGTCACCTAACCCAACCTAATATCTAGGCCAGCCCAGATTCAGTTTGGACCGGCCCAATGGACATCACTGCACATAGGCCCAACATAAAGCATCAAATTCCAAACAAAATATGCAAAATGAAATTGAGACAAAGTGTGCAAACTTCTCATAGCTTACAAACCAGTAATAATCTTACAAATCACAAATAGATTAATAAAAACATTTCAACATAGTATGTAATTAAATTAACAACGTCTAACACATAAATACATGTTAAGCATTTCCCTTGGTGAAACATGCCAACATCAACACCACCATAAAGTAGCGCCTTAGTTATGGAATAGCATTACCAACCCAATTATGTACCTATAAATCAAAATTAGCCGTAATTAGTACCATATTAAAGAGTTAAATTGTTGTAAAGCTAGAAAATAAAGAAGTGTTTGATCATGCATGCTTACCCTATGACGAGCAAAACAAGAGACGTGATCCCTAACACGTACTGGTAGGGCTTAAACTTAGTCTTGGAACCAAGATCAGAAGGAAATCGCCTGGTGAACCACCCAATATGAGGGCGAGGCAGCAACATAAAGCCAAGAAGGATCCCTACCGCGAACCCACCAAGAGGACCACCGTTATGTGGATGAGGAACTACCGTTAGTAGTAAGTTGATCACAAACATCAACGATATAGTACACACTGCCATACCCTAGTATAACATGCATAACAAGAATAACACAAGGTCACAAAAATAAACTATAAATTGCAAAATTAGATGAAAAATTACTATAATTAGTATATACAATATACTTTACCTTATTGGTGTAAAGGGTCCAATTTGTAATAAGTTCAGAATACATAGCTCCAATAAGCCCAAGTAAAGCACTAGTTGGACCAACAGAAATGTGACTTGGGTAAAATAGACATGAAGTTATGTTTCCTCCAATTCCTGCTACTAGGTAGATAATCCCAATCCTTACTGTAAAAATTCAGAAATTCAAATTCAACCAACACATAGATAAATTTAAGATCTATAATGATTATTTAAAAACCGAGGGAATAATACTATGAAACGAGTACTTACAGAATCCAAATTGTTGTTCAAGGCGAATGCCAATGAAAAGGAGAGTCAACATGTTAAAAAGAATGTGAATAAGGCCGCTATGTAGCCATATAGACGTGATGAGCCTCCATCGTTGATGATGCTCAACAATCACTGACCAATTTATAGCTCCCATTTTCATTAATCTTCATGCATACAAAAAAAAAATATCAATAAAATTTATGTAACCACCAAAAATAAAATCATACAATAACAACCACCTTACAACATACCAACACATTAAATGACAAAATCGCGACAAATATATGTACACTAACCAAAATTAGCAAGAAATTAATGAAAAAAATAGTTGATTAAATAAGTTACGTACGCATGAGGGCCAGGACCAAGGAGAGGGTTGTAATGAAGTGGTTCAAATGAAAATCTTCCAAGGAAACTCGCTACGCAACCACGGCTGCCACCATGAGAAGGACAGTTGTTAATGAACAAAGTAACAAGGAAAATGATGACATTAATCCCTACAAAAATAGGGATTAACCAAGTTTTCCATTCAACATCAGAATCATCCCACATATGAGATATCTTTACTATCCTATTTTCCATTGCTCCTCTTTTCTCAACATCCTCTTCACTTTCCATATCTTTTTCTCTTCTCTAAAATTAGGAAACTGTAAGTTTGATTGTAAGTTTGGTTTTTTTGTGTATGTGATGAAGTGGGAGGAAGTTTAAAAGGGATTAGTCGGTTTTATTAACTGCTTGATTATTAGTTGGGTCACTAATAAACGTGTTTTAGTGCAACTTTATTTTTACAATAGATAACTGCTTGATTTCTGTGGATTTATGGCCCATTTATAGGCCCTTTTCTTTCATTCTTTCTTACAAGATTTGTGAATGTACATATAGGACATTTGATTAGACCCAATTTTTGACGATCCAATATAATAAGGTTTTAAGGATAGAATTATGGAAAGGAAGCTCTGACCATTTGATCTAATTTACACTCTCTCATTTTATTTATTTTGCATTTGGATAAGATTACACGAGGGAATCAAGCTAATTATTTCCTTTGACTATAATATGTATGACAATATACTAGGGAACTATAGTCTATAATTTAGGAAGATAATAATCTCTTTTGACCATACAACAAATATTTACTATATTTAACTCTTAAATTTGAGGATGATGCTCTTTTCTTTGGCCGGCCTGGACCGACTTGGTCTCCCTAGACAAAATGCTTTGATCAGCAATAATAAGGTGGTATAAATTGCATTTAAGGTGATTTGAAATCGGGTCAGGAACAATTTGGGTTGAATATAAGGCGGGTCAATAACAAGTCGTGTTAATTTCAAGTCAGGTTAGTAACAGATCGGGTTGAATTTTTGGGTCTAGTAAGTAATAGGTCTAGAAAAATTCAGGTCGGGTCAATAACAAGTCGGATTGAATTTGGGTCATGTCAATAATAAGTCGGGTTGATTTCGGGTTGGGTTTGTAACAGGTTGGGTTAAATTTGGGTCAAGCAGAATTCAGGTCATGTTAGTAACAAGTCGGGTTAAATTCGGATTTTGACGGGATAAAACGGGGGAGGGTCAATTTCGGTTCAAGTCGGGTTCGATGCAATTTAATTAAATTGATCGTTGTAAACCGGTAAATCGGTGCAAGTTGTAAACCGGTAAATTGGCCGTTTAACGACGAATTGGATGGTTCCACACACTCGATTGGACTCCCGAAGGATATTAAGGACCATGGTAAACATTTTGGCATTTTTTATTTCCGGGCAAAAAAAAAGTCAAAAAAATCCAAAATTGAAGGCTAATATCCACGCTTTTTGAGAAATTCTGGAGGTTTCGGGGCCCGGTGTCGAAAAGCCTTGAGATTTTAGGTAATACATCTCGAGGTCATATAATGACGTTTGGAACCATATATGATCATTATATGTTGTCATAAATGTTCGTGGTAGGCTTGATTTAATGATATCGATGCAAGTTATAAACCAGTAAATAGGTCATTTATAGGAAAATTGGATGGTTGTACCCACCCAATTGAAATCCCGGAATGTATTAGGACCATGGTAAACATTTAGGCAATTTTTATTTCCGGACAAAAATAAAAGTCAAAAGTTACAAAATTGAAGGCTAATATTCACGCTTTTTGAGAAATTTTGGAGGATTTGGGGCCCGGTGTCGAAAAGACTTGAAATTGTAGGGATACATCTCGGGGTCATATAATGTCATTTATGATCATTATATGTTGTCATAAATGTTCATGGCAGGCTTGATTTAATGAAATCGGTGCAAGTTGTAACCGGTAAATTGGTCGTTTAAAGGCAAGTTGGATAGTTCAACCCACCCAATTGGAATCCCGGAGGGTATTAGGGATCATGGTAAAAATTTCAGCAATTTTTTTTCCCGGGCGAAAAAGGTCAAAAAATTCCTAAATTGAAGGCTTATATCCACGCTTTTTGAGAAATTTTGGAGGTTTCGGGGCACGGTGTCGAAAAGCCTTGAAATTTTTGGGAATACGTATCGGGGTCATATAATGACGTTTGGAACCATATATGATCATTATATGTTGTCATAAATGTTTGTGGTAGGCTTGATTTAATGAAATCGGAGCAAGTTATAAACTGGTAAATAGGCCGTTTAAAGGAAAATTGGATGCTTGCACCCACCCAATTGGACTCCCGAAGGGTATTAGGGACCATGGTAAATATTTCGGGAATTATTATTTCCGGGCGAAAAAAATCTACAAATTTCAAAAATAAAGGCTAATATCCACGCTTTTTGAGAAATTTTGGAGGTTTCGGGGCCCGGTATCGAAAAACCTTGATATTCTATGGAATACATCTCAGGATCATATAATTTCGTTTGAAAACATATATGATCATTATTTGTTGCCTTAAATGTTCGTGGTAGGCTTGAATTAATGAAATCGGTGCACGTTGTAAACCTATAAATTGGCCATTTAAAGGCAAATTGGATAGTTCATCCCACCCACCCAATTGGACTACCAAAGGGTATTAAGGACCATGGTAAACATTTCGGCAATTTTTATTTTCGGGCCGAAAAAAGTCAAAAAATTCCAAAATTGAAGGTTAATGTCCACGTTTTTTGAGAATTTTTTGGAGGTTTGGGCCCTGTATCGAAAAGTCTTGAGATTTTGGGGAATACATATGGGGATATATAATGCCGTTTGGAACCATATATGATCATTATATGTTGTCATAGATGTTCATGGTAAGCTTGAGTTAATGAAATCGGTACAAGTTGTAAACCGTTAAATTGGTCGTTTAAAGACAAATTGGATGGTTCCACCCACCCAATTGGAGTCCCGGAGGATATTAGGAACTATGGTAAACATTTCGGGAATTTTTGTTTTTGGGCGAAAAAAGTCAAAAAAAAATTCCAAAATTGAAGGCTAAGATCCACGTTTTCGAGAATTTTTGTAGGTTTCGAGGCCCAGTGTCGAAGAGCCTTTAAATTTTAGGGGATACATCTCGGGGTCATATAATGCCGTTGGGAACCATTTATGATTATTATATGTTGTCATAAATGTTCGTGGTAGGCTTGATTTAATGAAGACGGTGCAAATTGTAAACCGGTAAATTTGCCGTTTAAAGGTAAATTGGATAGTTCAACACACCCAATTGGACTCTCGGAGGGTATTAGGAATCATGGTAAAAATTTCGGCAATTTTATTTGCGGGCGAAAAAATGTCAAAAAATTAAAAAATTGAAGGCTGCATCAAAAGAGATGTCCCTTTTGAGGCTAGAATTGATTTTCCTTGATACCTAACATAATGCGGGAAAGGTTCTCTGAAAAGCCATAGGATAACCCCAAAATCCTTAGTAAAAACTTTTACTAAATATGCCCTTAGGCACGGCCATACATAACATAGAAATCACACTTGGAAGGGGTGGACAATTAGCTAGAGCAGCGGGTGCTGTAGCGAAACTGATTGCAAAAGAAGGGAAATCGGCCACATTAAAATTACCTTCTGGGGAGGTCCGTTTGATATCCAAAAACTGCTCAGCAACAGTTGGACAAGTGGGGAATGTTGGAGTGAACCAGAAAAGGTTGGGTAGAGCCGGATCTAAGCGTTGGCTAGGTAAGCGTCCTGTAGTAAGAGGAGTAGTTATGAACCCTGTAGACCATCCCCATGGGGGTGGTGAAGGGAGGGCCCCAATTGGGAGAAATCCACGTTTTTTGAGAAATTTTGGAGGTTTCGGGTCATGGTGTCGAAAAGCCTTGAGATTTTAGGGAATACATCTCAGGGTCGTATAATAATGTTTGAAACCATATATGATCATTATATGTTGTCATAAATGTTCGTGGTAGGCTTGATTTAATGAAATCGGTGCAAGTTGAAAATCGGTAAATTGGTCGTTTAAAGATAAATTGGATTGTTCCACCCACCCAATTAGACTCCTGGAGGGTATTTGTGACCATGGGAAACATTTCGGCAATTTTGATTTCCGGGCGAAAAAAGTCGAAAAATTCCAAAATTGAAGGCTATATCCACGCTTTTTTAGAAATTTTGGAGATTTCGAGGCCCGGTGTCAAAAAGTCTCGAAAATTTACGGGATACATCTCTGGGCCATATAATTCCGTTTGGAATCATATATAATCATTATATGTTGTCATAAATGTTCACGGTAGGCTTGAGTTAATGAAATTGTTGCAAATTGTATAGTGGTAAATTGGCCGCTTAAAGGCAAATTGGATGGTTCCATCCACTCAATTGGATTGCCGGAGGGTATTAGGGACCATGGTAAACACTTCAGCAATTTTTATTTCCGGGCGAAAAAAAGTCAAAAAATTCCAAAATTGAAGGCTAATATCCACACTTTTTGAGAAATTTTGGAGGTTTCGGGGCCCGGTGTTAAAATGTCTTGAAATTCTAAGGGATATATCTCGGGGTCATATAATGCCGTTTGGAACAATATATGATCATTATGTGTTGTCATAAATGTTCGTGATAGGCTTGAGTTAATGAAATCGGTTCAAGTTGTAAACCGGTAAATTGGTTGTTTAAAAGCAAATTGGATGGTTCCACACTTCTACTCACCCTATTGGACTCTCGGAGGGTATTAGGAATCATGGTAAACGTTTCGTCAATTTTTATTTCCGGGCGAACAAAAGTCAAAAAATTCCAAAATTGAAGTCTAATATCCCCGCTTTTGGAGAAATTTTGGAGGTTTCAGCCTTTTCGTGGCCCGTTGAAGAAAAGACTTGAGATTTTATGGGACACATCTCGGGGTCATATAATGCTGTTTGAAACCATATATAATCATTATGTTGTCATAAATGTTCGTGGTAGGCTTGAATAAATGAAATTGGTGCAAGTTGTAAATCGGTAAATTGGCCGTTTAAAGACAAATTGGTTGGTTCCACCTACCCAATTGGACTCTTGGAGGATATTAGAGACCATGATATACATTTCGGCAATTTCTGGGCGAAAAAAAGTCAAAAAAATTCAAAAATTGAAGGCTAATATCCACGTTTTTTGTGAAACTAGTCGATGGAGCATGCGCGTTGCGCGTGCTTCCTCGACGGCAAGATAAGTATGATTCGTGAAATTGTTCCTTTTTTGAGCTCTTCGTGATTTTGTTTAGGTTAAGATTATAGAGGCGTTTTAATTTATAAGTTGTTAGAAGGGGTAGTGATAAAGCTTGTAAGATAAGTAAAATTCGATTGTAATATTCAGGTGTTGTAATAGCAAGGATACAAGAATTTGTAAGTACTAGCAAGGAATAGTGATAAAGTTTCTATGGAGATATATGTATGGAAAAACAATTGATATAAGTGAAGTTATCTAGAATTTGTTAGAATTTAATGATTTTTAAAAAAAGTATACTATTGTTTTAGATATTATTTCAGAACATAATATGGTTTATTGAGTACCTAAATAATTTCGAAGAGCTTTATTTTAAAATGATTGTGATTGTAAGGATTAGTAATAAGGAAATGCAATCTTAGAGGTTAAAGTTATGTAAAATGGATTAAATATAAAATATATAAAAGAATTGTATACATATTTGTTAGACTATTTAAAGTAGAAAATTTTCAAGGGGTTCTTCTATTGAAAATTATAATTGTTAGAGTTTGTAACTGATACAGTACATTTAAAGGGCTGTTTAGTGAACTAAGCTGGTTCTTGCAAAAAACTTGTTCTTGATACCCCTCATGTACTGCTTTTCTTGGAGTACCGGAGGACCTTTCAATTGGTGGATAATCTAGGACCTCCAAATAAAAATAAATAAAAAAAATATATATATAAATACATAAAATATAAAAAAATTAGATGCTATGACTGGGTTGTGCAAAAGTGTGTTTTTTATACTTCTCTTTTTTTGGGTGTGGGAGGGGGGATGGGTCAGAAATCTGAAGGCTACTTTCTTCTTGTTATCTCTGTACACCATGCTCTTTAATGGAAGGAACAAAACAACATATAAGCATAGTAGCCTAAGCTCGTCCTGAAATGATTAAAACAGGACAACAATAAAATATGCAAAAACCCGAGATCAAGTAAAAAATGACTGATAATGAAGTACAAAACCTGAACCAGTAGCAACAAAAAAATTATAAATTTTGTCCTCAATTGTTCAATAAAAAATTACTAAGCTCTTCAGAGACAAAGTACACAATAAAGAAGTTTAGCACTTCATAGTGTTTATACATCTACCAGCAGTCCACCAAGTACTGAAAATCATATTCATGTTCCACGGTCAGGACCTTTGTCCCGGATAAAAATACAGTTCAAAGATTACAAATATATATTTCATATATACTTGTATAGTTGTATAGAAATGGAAAACATATAGACGCATAGTTCAAAGGTCAACAACAAAGTCTTAATCTTAATGTACTTGGCATTAACTTGCAAGTGCAAATCCACCAACTCTACAAAATTTTAGCTTAGTTTAAGAGCATAACAGCAGTCATAATATAGTATCTAAATAACTGCAAGATATACACTCATAAGCTTTTGGCCAACTATCAGCATCTGCAATATGATGAGATGAAATAATGCAGACTGACATTTAAGATAAGAGTTCCCAATGAATGAACCAGCCTCCATGTTCTACCCATGAAAGCAAGACAAAGCCTGTTGTAAACAAAAAAGAGATAGTAAGTACGGAAAAAGATCAGGCACTACTTTTCATTTTGATCAGAGAAACTTTGATTTCTAGTGTATGCCAATAGAGTTGTACCAATATTTGAAAAGTCGCTTCAAATGGTTACACTATCAAGACTTATCTTACTGTGGTGGACTGGTGGTGGTGGTGGTGGTGGTGGGGTATGTGTAGAAAGGGAGGGATGCCCTAGATTCCTAAACATCATCATCCATGGATTAGAAGCCAATATAAAGACCTTTACTTTAGCAAAAGAAATTTCAGGATCATCAGTTTACATGTTGACATTCACTGGTAATTATTCTTTCTAAAGTGACAAAGCATGCCAATTATGTACCAACAAGTAGCAACTCAAAAGTTACCAATGTAGAACACTTAACTTATAATGAGGTAAGCAGAGAAGAGAAAAAGGCTCAAACCTATCACACGCTCCTGGTAGTGAAGGCTCAACATTAGAAGGAAGACCAAAGACAACCCAGAATAGTTGCAAAGCCAAATCAAAAAGATCAAAACTTTATCATCCAAGAAAACAATTATAATCAAAAGTAGTTTATAATCCAAGAAGCATAAAAATCAAAAGTTCAAAACTTTATCACCCAAAAAGCATATAATATAATCAAAAAATCAAAACTTTATCAGCTAATAAACTTATAATCATTCAATTTAACCCAAAATCAAAACTCAATCATATAGAAAACTTATAATCATTCAATTCAATCCAAAAAATGAAGTGGGATACCTCAGGAGAGAGACGCTTGCAGTGACCACACTAAGGAGCGTGGAAATCAACGTAGACATAATCAAAAGAAGAAATGGTTTAACCAAAGTTTTTTGCAAAAACCAGCTTAGTTCACTAAACAACCCTTTAAATTTACTGCAAAACAAGTTATTGAGCTATCTAGGAACTTCGGGCTTAAATATAAGTTATGGTATCGCTTACACTTCATTTTATCTTTGTCAGGAGTTCTAGGGTGAAAGACACTCAATGATCGAACAAACTCTCCAAACTCAATGCATCCATTGTGGTTGACATCAAAGAGATCAAACATCTGCAATTATGCAATTAACCGAGTAAGTAAGGCTGTGGCAAAAGGCTGTGATACATTTTAAGTCAGTACAACAGTCTGGGAAGTGCATATAACAAAAACAGTAGTGAATTAGTAATTTGTCAGCATATGCAAGGCCCTAGATATTAATAAAATCCACCATATATATCAGTCTGACTGCCAAAACGACACGTGACACCTAGCAATCAGTGAATCAGATCATACAATGATATTCCCACAGTTCAAATTGCTAAAAGATTGTCCAGTTTTCTGAATTCTGAAGTAATATAACTTCAAGAGTTCATACTTAATAAACACTGCTCAACTTATCTTGTAAGGCAAAAAATACTTCAGTATTATGTAAACTGAAGGAAAAAGAACAAGTGAACAACTATAGATCGGAAATTCTTGCATGAAATATGGGACATCAGCATCTAACAACAAAAAGGAAACACATACTCTGTCAAGAAAAAGGCTTTTCTTCATACTATTCTTAAATAATGCAAGTTGAAGTTCTTCCTGATCATCATAATTGATAATTGTATTAGAATAAAGAAACAATAATAACTTGATATAGCAATAATATAATACATAACAACTCTTCATTTGCTACCATATAAAACAGATTATCACTTATACATCAAGGATATTTATATACCTTTTGAATAAAACCATCTTTGACAACAGAGTTGCTGAGTTTATTGAATAAGTCATATTAAAGATCCACTTCATCCTCAGTAACTGCAACACAAAACAATCAATAAATTATCAAATTATAAATATTTATTTTGTCTAAAATATTTAGGTAATTTTGGGCATAGCTTCTTTATTTAATTTTTAAAAAAAAAACCGAAAAAGAAGTATGTAACATTACTTTTGTGAAAGAAAAAGAAAAACCTTTCAAAAAATATGGAGTAAAAAGATCATATTTTGTACCAAAAATCAAAATATTGTGCCAAATATTTCAGAAGTACCAACTCCGAGTCCAACATAATTTCTTAGTTATGGCACACATATATACGAGTACAAGTCTTCTACTTATAAAAGTAATGCAAAATTTACCTTTTTTCATCTTCGATATTCCCATCTTCAGTTTGATTTTCCTCGTCCATTTCCTCATCGTCTTCATTGTCCACTTCCAGAAAATATTTCTGATAAATGTTACTATTGTCAGGATCTTCTGTTGCTTCACAAGACAACTACAAATGGCACAAGGCTCAAACCAGGCAGGCTAAAATGAATAAAAACTTACATCATCTTCAGTGACTGGTTCTCCAGGAACAGTTAAAGGAATTGGCTCAGGCTTCAGCTCTTTTTTATAAATTTTCTTCATCTCTTCTGCAACAGCTTGTGCCAAGGAGTCCTAAAATGCTCATCGATTAAAATTAAGTAAACGTTTGATGTGGTTAAAACCGCAAGACAATAAGAGATATTGGGTAATAACTAATAACCTTGTTACTCTTATCCTCTGGATTAAAAGAGCATCCTTGAGGCTCAACTTCAACTGCTAGAATTTGTGAAGGTTTACCATTCTGTAAATCAAACAATTCATAATGGACACCAGTCAGACAAGGGAGCTAGATCAAACGCAGCCAGATATAAAAAGAATCAAGTAATAGACTCTGTGCATCAAATATATATCTAAAATCAAGGGATCTCATAAGAGACTTTGACCCAAAGATCAACAGAAAAGATATCCAAATTTGACAAGCCAAATACTTTACATAACATGTGTAACAGTGTAAGCACCTTTTAATGGGAAATAAATAATCAAATGTCTACATACTTAAGGATGGGAAGCACAATAAGCGGAGTGAATCATTAGATGATTAATTAGCACAATTCTATTCAAAATGACAATCAAATAAAGAAGCAGGAACATTAAAGTATTTGAATACCAAGTTTCATACCCTAATTTGCAGCCAATGACCTGTTTTTCTAAGATATCAAATATTTTTCTAATTATGATTGACTAAAAAAAGAATATTGGATGATGCCTAAAATAATCGAAAACCAATTGAACAAATAAAGACAAAAAAATCGAAAACAAATCAATCAAATAAACCCCAAAACAATCGAAAGCCAATCGACCAAATAAAGTCAAAAAATCGAAAACAAATCGATCAAATAAACCCCAAAATAATCGAAAACCAATCGACCAAATAAAGCCAAAAAATCGAAAACAAATAATGATCAAATAAACCCCAATAAAAACGAAGCGATTTTGCTGAAATACACCCACAAAGATTGAACCAAAAAAATTCGAATACACATTGAACATGTCGAAAACAACAGGAACATATATGCAAAAATCCACGACAATCAAACCCAAAAATTTGAAACTAAATCAAGAGAGAGAAACAAGATCGAACCTGATAAATGTGACGATGGGAAAGTCATCTTCCACAACCTCGGACGCTGAGAAGAATCGAAGCCCCATCGTCGAAAGCGATGATCGGTGGTCTTGAGTTGCTGAATTTTTCTCTCTCTAGGTTTCTCTCTCCTTGCTTAATCAAATGCTCTGACCCTTTCCTTATGAGATGAAAACAGAGAGAGGGAAGTCGGTCTAGAAGCAAGGGGCCCACTCCCAATTACAGCTATCACAAAAGGCAATTGATTAAGCAAGGGCAATTTGGGCAATTCATTAATTATAAGGGCATCTATGCAATAGCACCAGAAATTACTATTCATAAGCTACAGTATTTAGTTTTGCACTTTTATAATGGTTATGGATTGTCTAAAAGTCTAAAAATTCTAGATGATGCTAAAATTAATATCCCTTCTTTATTTTTATTTTTTTTAGGTTGAAGCCAAAATAAGTTGCAAAACGTGATTAAATTTTTACTATAATACGTAACAAGCAACAAAAACAATAAGAAAAACCACAAGTTTGCACTTCAAAACGTTAGTGGTGTAACAACTTATTTCATCCTTTTTCTTAATCTAGATTATTATTTCTTCCATATTTGCTTATATATTTCCTAATTCAATTTATTACTCTAATTATCCTTCCAATATATCCCCAATTATTCACTCATATCTTTGTATGCATATAATTTGTCACCATCCACTCCCATTAGATTGTAACGTAGCTCAGCTAAGATATAAGAATAATAACAATCAATAAGCGATAACATGGAACCAAAAAATACATAAATTACGACATACTCCCTAATAAGTATTTACGCGGACCATTCATTAAACCATTACAAGCTATGTATAACCTTGATTACTATGATTAGTACTCTTACTTATTAACTTATACTCTGTTATATCATTATCATTATCGTCATTTATTACCATCTATTGAACGAGGAGAGTGAAACACAAACGCTTGCATATAAGCATGAGGAGGGGGTAAGATGAGAAGCATGAATTCAGGGGCCGGGAGAAGGGGGAGTGGGACCCAATAATTTTTCGTTTGTCAAAGATGAAACGGCCTAGTTTTCTCTCTCTTCCGCTGACTTTCTTACTGTCCAAAATTTTCATTTTTCGTTTGAAAAATCCAAATTATTTTTGGTTATAAAAACAAAGCAAAGAGAGAGAGAGACAGAAGAAGCAGAGCAATGCAAAGAAGCCATAGATAATAGTGTAGAAAACAGAGCACTGATCCCATAAAAGATTAAAAAAAAAAAAAAGAGAGAAAAAAATAAATAAAAAGTTTGATCATTTTTCTAATATTGATTTCTTTGACCAAAGGGAATCATCACCATTGAAATTTGTAAGTGAGTCAGCTATTATTATGCTAAGCAAACTCTTTTTTTATTCATTTATTTCAATTCCTTTCTGCTCCTTTTATTACTCGGACTCGGGTACTCGTTTTAAAAAGTGTTTTAATTTAGATGTCGAGGATTTAATACCCACCCGAGTATTTAAAGTGTAATAAAGAGTCCGAATTATCATAGATTTAATTTGATTTAATTATTAAAAAAATGATTTCTTTTTGTATAAAATTTTTGTTAGGATCTCCACATGCAAATGCAATAGGGAGATAAAAAGGGTCCACGAATCTTTGACAATTGACACTCAAAAACACTTACCACTGTTTTCTCTCTCTAGAAAACTGAGTCTCTTCACCTTCTTTCTTTCTTTTCTGGGTGTTGTTTGGCTCCATTTTTTTACCCCTTTTCTGGGAAAATTAAGGAGAAAAAGCCAGAAAAAACACACACCAAAAATAAATTTATTTATTTGTTAATTTATTTTTATTTTTTTTATAGGGGTGGGTTTGTTTTTTTGGTGTTATTGGAGGTGTAGCAACTAGCAAAGTGAGGAGGTTCTAATACTTTGAAATGGTACTGAGTATTTTCTGAGGTATTTCATTTTGTTGCAAATACTAACAGAATTTTATTTACCCACAAAAAAAATTGCAAGGTTTTGAGTTTGAGTGTTATTTTATTTTTTAATATCTTTACCAAAAAAAAAAAAAAAGAAAAAGAAAGTTCTTATACACGTTTTGGAGAATCTATTTGGTCATTTTCAGGGGATCTGATCTTATGGGGTCATTTTCATGTCTTGCTATGATTTTGATTGTACTTGAATCTTTATAAAGTTTTTGACTTTACATTTGTACACACTCGTATTTAAAAGTTCTTCCTGTTTTGAGAGACCGTTCTTTTGATTTAAACGTATGTCCAAACAAAAAAACTTTTAAAGACGGAGTGACTACTATTTTTTTTGCTTTTGAAATATCCAAATGGTAAAGAAAAACATGCAAATGGGTATATAAAAAAAAAAAGTTGAATTTTATTTTACATGATTAATGAGTTCATGACCCTTAATTATAGCATTAGCAAAAGTGTAACTCCTTTTATTCTTCAATTATTTTTGTTGCATTTTTTTTATTGGATAAATTGAATATATTTTATAAAATGTGTTTTTGGGGATTTGCAGGGTGAAATGGAGAGACTTGATGAAATGGGATTTTATGGGGATCAGTATGACCCAAACAACATGATAATGGTTGGAGAAAATACTATTAATAATAGTATTAACAAGGAAAATTCTGGAAGTGACAACTATGAAAGTCTCTCAGTTGGGGATGTTCCTGAGCTTGACCCTGAACCTGAACTTGATGAGGGACCTTCTCAAGTTAAACCTAAAGGAAGGAGAAAGAGATATCATAGACACACTCCTCAACAAATTCAAGAACTTGAGAAGTAAGTTTTTTGTGTTAATTTATTGTTTTTAATGATATTCAAAATGATTGTGAGACCGTCTCATACAAGACTTTGCCTTTCGAGTGGCGGGTTTGAGTAAATTTATGATTTTCAAACATTTGAATTGATTTTTTTTTGGGTGTTTTGTAATTAATGTTTTATGGTGTTTTTTCCCTTATAATTTGCTGTCTTGTAATGGTTGGTTAATGTTATTGTTATTGATGTAATGTCTTGTTGATTATTGGGGGTGTAATTAATTTTTAAAACTGTTCATAATCATTGCTGATTCTTTAATTGGGTGTGCAGTTTCTTTAAGAATTGTGCTCACCCAGATGAAAAACAAAGGCTTGAAGTTGGAAGGAGGCTTGGATTGGAGAGCAGGCAAGTTAAGTTTTGGTTTCAGAATCGTCGAACGCAAATGAAGGTAATTATGTATTCAATATTTTGTACTCCCTCTGTCCCTGTCTTATTTTTTGCTCCATTTGATTTTTTACGGTCTCAAATACACATTTTAAAACATATTTATCTCTTATTTCACATGAGTAAAAATTATAAAAACTTGATATTAATAAAATATATGAGGCAATTGTAGCAAGCTCTCACGTGACTATATTATCAATTTGGAGTATATGATTTTCATGAATCATGGAGTATATACTAATTGGTTTGAAATTTTGAATTAGTTTGTATTGATTATGATATAAATTATTGGTATGAACAGACACAAATCGAACGAAATGAAAATCTAGTCCTTAAGGCAGAATATGATAAACTTAGAGTTGAGAACATTGCAATGAAGGATGCTTTGAGAAATCCATTGTGTCAAGCTTGTGGAGGTCCGACTATGCTAGGGGATGTATCCATTACTAATCACCATTTGAGGGTTGAGAATGCTCGTTTGAAGGATGATCTTGCCCGGGTTTGTGCTGTTGCTGAGAGGTTCATTGGCAAACCGATATCTGATTTAGTTGGTCCAGTTGGAATCCCCACTTCAAGTTCAAACTTGGAGCTATCCATGGGGAGAGGAGGGTTAGGTGGCCTAATGAGCTCATCATCCTCTTTACCACCCATGGGACTTAACCTTGAGAATGGACTTTCGAGCAATTCTACCATGACAGTATCTATGAATGGTTCAGTCAGCACCGAGTATGAGAAGTCGATATTCATGCAGGCTGCAATGGCTGCGATGGATGAATTGCTTGCCATGGCTCAGACTGATAGTCCTCTGTGGTTTAAAGGCTTGGATGATGGTAAGGAATTGCTGAATCAAGAGGAATATGTCAAGAAATTCTCCAGTTTTACCGGAATGAAACCTTGTGGCTTCATTACCGATGCTTCAAGGGATACAAGTTCAATATTCATCACTAGCTTGGAGCTTGTGGAAATAATGATGATTCCTGTAAGGACTCTTAACTTTTGTTGATTTCATGGTTCTTGCATGGAAAATAAAAATTTTCTTAACTTTTTCCCTTATCGAATTCATTATCAATAAACTTGAAAATCTTGTGTTAAATGCTTCAAATGTGTCATTTGTGCCTTTACTGTTTATTTGGATAGTTTTGGTTTAATAATGTATCACAGTATCTCTGTCACGATTAATTATAAGTTATGGCTAAACATGTTGGCTTAGATGCTTGCCTCCACAAATCAAATTTGAACTTTTTAGCAGTTGAGATAGTACCGTCTTTACTTTAAAGGTTGTTTTGTTTTAAATATGTCTATCTAGACTTCATTATCGCATTATCTTTTAAGATTGTACTATCAATGTGACAATCATGCAGACGGAGGGAGTGTAAATTGAAGCTGATGACTGAATAATTTAAATTTCTAGATATGTTCTCATAAATGGTTATATATTTGTACCATGCTCTTTTTGTCACCTTTAATTTCACAATGATTTAATGTTTTTGCCAACTCTGAAATGATTTGTTTCTCCAATAAAGAGGCAATGGAGAGACACATTTCCATGCATGGTTAGCAAGGCTGCAACTGTCGAGGTTCTGTACCATGGTGCTGGTGGGACTCGTGATGGGGAACTTCAGATGGTAAGCTCTTCATGAATATGGCTATCTTCTATTCTAGCTATTTGTTGAATATTGACTGATAATGTCATGAAATCTCATGTTAGATGAATGCAGAGTTAGTGTTTCCCTCACCTTTTGTGCCTTCCCGTCATGAAAAGATATTGCGGTACTGCAAGCAGCATGCAGAAGGCATGTGGGCCGTGGTTGACGTTTCTGTTGACATGATCCGAGACCCATCTTATTCAGGATCGGCCATCAGGTGGAGGAGACTTCCTTCTGGTTGCATTGTTCAAAATGTTGCCAATGGCTATTCCTTGGTATTTACTTCTCCTTAATAATTCTTTAATCTTAAGCAAATAAGTATATCTATAAATAGGCTTGTCAAAAAAAAAAAAAAGTATATCTATAAATAAGTATTAAATGTAGAATAACTGCAGCCTCTTAAACATAATTATGATCTTGCTATTAACTACCAGAATGAGAAGGTTGCACTAGTAATGATGTTTGGATCATTATGTCGAATCCTTTTCCTGTCTGTCATGAAATTTCTTTTTCTTTATTAATTTCAATAAAGGTGGCATATTGTGCGCGATCTCTCTGAATGAGAGAGAGATAGAAGCTGCTGTAGCTGTAAGGTTCTAAACTTGTACGGCATCTACATTTGTTTATTTGGAGGAGTAGATGCTTCTTCTCTTATTTTATACCGCGATTTCAAATTTCAAAGCCAAGGGTTGCTTATTGTCTTCACTTACTAATTTATCTCAATTCTTAAATAAGTTGTTCAGATAGTTTGGTATGCTTTCATCTTAAGATAGGTCATCTTTTGTTATAAAAAAATATTATCATAAAATAAATTAATATTAGTTGTATCGGGCCGGGTCAAAACCGGGTCAGCTAATTTCAATTTGCAAATGAGTTTAGGTCACGTGATTCGTTTGGGATGGTCGAGTATGTGTCAATTTTGACAGGTGTTGGGATAACTCTCTCTCTCTTTTTTTTTTTTTTTTTTTTTTTTTTTTTTTTTTTAATATATTAGTTAGAGCCCTTGGTTATGAAAAATTTGATAAAAGTTCTTTTTGATCTTTGTGGAGGGAAAAGCCTAGGAATCCACATCTTTGGTTGGTATAATATAAGTATTTGTTGTTTCTATTCTGATTGCAGCTTATATTAAAACCAATATTGTATAACCAAGAAATGAGATGAACTGGATTTGGGTTTTAATATGCCGTCTTGGTCCATGTAATGCGACTGCGCACTTTGTGTCCTTCTGTTTAGCTTCCATTTTTATTTTGTTTAAGGGAAATGAGAGGAAACAACTCACTGATTAAATTGTCAAACTCTACAACTTTTGTTATTTTAAATATTTGTCTGCAAGCATCTCGTTCCTTGTTTGCCTCCTCTGCCCTGCCTTTGATTTCTGTGCATTTCTCCTAGAGCGCCTAATGTGCTTGCTAAATGCTTAAAGTTATCGTTTCATGTTTAAACTGTATTCAGTATGTTTACGTAATGTGCAAGATAGTCTGTATGCATAGCAGCCCACAGAACTACGTGAACTGAACCGGGATTTTTGACAGTAACTAGACGATTTTGTTATTGGAGAGAGTTCTCTGACTTCTCTCTCATGTGCCTCATGTGTGTTCATTAGTCCAATTTATTTGAATAAAACTTTAATTTCCATATTATTTTAAAAAAATTCTTATGATGTAAAAACTATTTGAATAATCTTCCCACCTTGGCATAGTTCTTTAACATCAAGTTTTAGTTTGTGCTTAGGTAAGATCTCATGATGGTATATTGGCTAACGATTGAATTACAGGTTACATGGATTGAACATACGGAATATGATGAAAATAGTATTCACCAACTGTATAGACCATTGCTGCGATCAGGATTGGCTTTTGGCTCTCAAAGGTGGATAGCCACCTTACAGAGGGAACGTGACTGTGCTGCCATTTTCATGTCCGCTAGAATTGTTCCTAATGATACTACAGGTTTCTTTCTCATACTAGTGATATCAAAAGATGATTAGAATATGACAACAAATATTAATTTTTTATTTGATTATAACAATCTATTGCATAGCAGGAGTTATCACCCAAGAGGGCAGAAGAAGCATCTTAAAGCTGATGAGGCGCATAAGCAACAATTTCTCCTCTGGGCTGTGTGCATCCTCTGCCTGTCGTTGGGAGAAGCTGCAAGTTGGAGGGTTGGGTGCTGATGTTTGTGTCATGAGCCGAGTCAGTGTGGACGAGCCTGGTGAGCCCTCAGGTGTGGTGCTTAGTGCCTCAACTTCCGTTTGGATTCCAGTACCAAGGCAGCACATCTTTGAATTCTTACGGGATGAAAAACTCCGTGGAAAATGGGACATTTTAGCAAATGGTGGTCCGATGGAAGTGGTAGCTCGCCTTTCCAAGAGCCACGACGTGAATAATTGTGTTTCCCTCTTATGTCCACCTGTGAGTGTAAGCTTTTTACATGTTATTCTTAATTATTGCATGTTTTGGATGCTAAGAAAATGTTTTGTTTTGTTTTGTTTTTGTTTTTTTTTTTTTTTTTTAATAATTATTGAGATTGGGGCGGGGGGGGGGTCTTGGGCAAAGGTAGGATTCACTTGTCTTTTTTAAGAAGAAAATAAGAGAAGAGGGAGGGTGAGAGGGGGTGGGGGTTGTCAAAGACACACGGGTTTAAAGACAGACTGACTACCAGCGGAAATGGAGGCATCCTAACTCTAGTAAAACCCATGCTGTTAATCTATTATTCAAGAGACTATGGCTGGCCAAGAGCTGAGCCGAACTGAGTATCTGTCAAGCTTGGCTTGATTTGAAGTTCTCAAGCTCGAGCTTGGTACAATTACAGTCGATATCAAGGTTGGCTTAATAATGTATTGCTCAAGCTCAAGCTTGGACTGAGCTGCCCTCTCTGAAAGTTGTTCTGTAAACAATGAACTTTTAGTTCAATGGGGTACAAATTTCACCTTTTTTCCGTATAATTAAAATCATAGAAGATTATGTAGTTTAATGAGCTTTTATGTCGATCATGTCTTGTGACCTTGCTTGTTACAAAACAAGCCAGAGTTTAAAGTTCAGACTAAGATCATAGTGTACATGATCTAAGACTTGGGGATGAACTCAAGTCCTTTCTTTTCTTTCCTAGCATCCCTTTTTCAATCAATCCAAGTTTTTTTAATACACCTTTTACATTGTGGAGAGGACAGATAATTTTCACAAACTAATAAATTCACAATTTTGTAGGCTGCACCAGCAAGGGAGAGCAACATGCTGATACTACAGGAGTCATGGACAGACTGTACGAGCTCTTTCATCGTATATGCTCCAGTGGACTCAACATCAATGGAGACGGTCCTAAGGGGTGGAGATTCTGACTATCTGGCTCTTCTGCCCTCAGGATTTGCAGTTGCTGATGCACCCATACATCCAAATGTGCTTACATTGGCCAATGACAATGGAGCAGGAGGATCTGGTAGCGGAGGTGCATCTGCGTTGACATTAGGATTCCAAATTCTGGTCAACAGCCTCCCTACAGCAAAGCTCACAGTGGAATCCATCAATACCGTCAATGATCTTATGTCCTGCACTATCCAGAAGATCAAAAATTCCCTTGGTGCCAATTGACGCATTTTGCTACAAAAAATCAAGGGAAAGTTGTTGTACATGTCATAGAAAACATTATATAGCATTTTTGGTGGTTTACTAGGAGTTTTTAAAAGGAAGTCTTTTACATTGGAGCAATTCGAGTCAAGAACGAACCTTTGGCAATTACTGGCTGTTATTGTGCGGTAATTTGTGACAATTATAAGTGACTTTTCCTATAGATAGAAGCAGCTAATTTAGAGGCTTTGGTTCGGGTATTGACTCATAACAGCAGAAGGCGGAAACTTACATTAGCAATAGCTTTAAAGAGATAGTCAAGTGTTCAGTGTTGATCTGTGTTTAGATAGTTCTCTAATGGTTATATAAGAGTAGGACTCAGGTGAAGAACTGAAGAAAACATACTGCAGCTTTTGTTGAGACTGCTGATGTTTTCACATTTCTGAATCTTTTGTAAGTTTGAAACTTGGTGGGTGTTGTTTATCTTATGGTAGTAATTAAAGTTGACAAATTTTGTGTGAAATTGTGTTTTGAGTTCTTTGGACCTTTTATTGTTATTGCCTACTGCCTAGTAATATTTTTACCTAGTTATCCTATACTAAAGCCAGTCACTAAACACTGCCCATGATTACTTAAATCGTCTGTATCATTTTATCATTTACATCCAAGATGACGATGCTGGAGACCCTTAGAGCCAATATGATGGCCTGCTGCTTTTATTATGCCGAAGCAGGTGGCAACATCGTTTTTGGTGGCGATCATCTTACTGGTGGAGGCTCTTGCTCACGGCATGGTCTTTGGATACAAATAACATTAACACGCATCAATTAAGTAAAACGGAAATTTTTTATTAGTAACCTCAAATTTACAACCATAGTAGTAACCTTATATTAGATTTAAACAACTAAACTAAGAGAGAATGAAATTAGAAGCTAAACTAAACTAAAATTAAACTGAAGAGAACAAACCTTAATTAGGAATCAATCAACCAAACCCATCAATTTCATACAAATTTATTACTGCTTGTACATTCATCAAATGTATTGTATTATTACAATGCATAAATCTCAAATAGAGTATTAATTACAGTATCAAAAATTAGTTTTGATGTCAATTTTAATCGATAAAAACAGTCTTCTTTTTGAAAAATTGTTTTTCTTTGTTGTAGCTCCACTCATATCTTCCAATTTTATACCATTTTCAACCTTGCAAAACCCTAAACCAGAAATCCTCCAAACATGAACAACATTCGCAGAACATCCAATCTCATTCACATTAAACCCACATTACTCAAATCAAACCCATCAATTTCATCTTCTCTTCAACAAACCCTAAAAAATGCTCTAATTTTCGTAAGATCAATGTCAAAAAAATCCACTTCAATTCCCAAAAATCAACTTAGAGTAAGAGATCATGCTTTTGATAATTACATGGAAGTCGAGAAGAAGATCAGAAAAGTTCTCAAATTCCAGGAATTAATCATCGATCAACCCCAGCAATGCATCCCAGTTGCGCGCCTTGATTTCCTAGCTCGCCGAATTGGGTTCAAAAGAGATGAAGCAGGCAAGTTTGTTCTTAAATTACCTAAAATTTTTGAAATTTATGAGCACCCAGTTCAAAGAATTCTTTATTTGCGTTTTACTAGAAATGCCCTTTTGCAAATTGAACAAGAAAAGCATGCTATTAATGCCAATATACCTGATGCTGTTACTCGCCTTCGAAAGCTCTTGATGTTGTCGAATTCGGGTCGGCTTCATCTTGAACATATTAGGATTGCCCGTAGAGATTTCGGGCTCCCGGATGATTTTGAGTATTCTGTAGTGCTTAAGTATCCACAGTATTTTAGGTTGTTTGATGCAAAAGATTGTATGAGCAAGTACATTGAGATTGTAGAGAAAGACCCGAGGTTGGCGGTTTGTGCTGTTGATAGAGTTAGGGAGAGTGAGTATAGGAAGAAGGGGATTGATGAAGAGAGTACGAGGTTTTCGTTCGTTGTGAATTTCCCACCCGGGTTTAAGATTGGGAAGTATTATAAGATTGCAATGTGGAAGTGGCAAAGGATTCCGTATTGGTCGCCTTATGAGGATGTTTCGGGGCATGATATGAGGTCACTCGAGGCTCAGAATAGGATGGAGAAACGGGCTGTGGCGATGATTCATGAATTGCTGTCATTGACTGTTGAGAAGAAGATTACATTAGAGAGGATTGCACATTTTAGGGTCCCCATGGACTTGCCCAAGAAACTTAAAGATTTCCTACTCCAGCATCAGGGGATATTTTACATCTCTACAAGGGGGAATCAGGGTAAGCTTCATACTATTTTTTTGAGGGAGGCTTATAGAAAGGGGGATTTGGTAGAGCCAAATGATGTGTACTTGGCTCGCAGAAGGTTGGCTGAATTGATCCTGGTGAGCCCCAGAATGGCATCTTTGGGCAGAGAGTTGGTCAGTTATACAAGGCCTAGGGATGATGTAACTGGGAGTCGTAAAGAGCAAATCAATGATAGTGACAATTTCAGACGAGATAGGGTGGGCGAGCCTGATTTGGACTCAGAGTCAGGTAGTGATGTGGAATCATGTTTCAGTGATGAAGGTGAGGATGAGGATGGTCATCATGTTAGGGATACACAAGCTGCTCGTTGAACTGAGTGAATGGAAACTAAGGAATGTTTTTTTATTATTTAATTTGCGGTTCTGTGATGACTTCATGGCTGGTGCTAAGTGATGTTTGCATAACCGAATTGGCACAAGGAATTTTCAAAGGAGCTGACAATCTCTTGTTAGAATCATGTTTATGAAGGTAAGTACTCTGCATGGAAACAGATCATTTTGCCGGTAACTTGGTCCTTTTTATGTCTTCTATCAATGGCCAGTGCTAAGTGATGTTTGCATAACCGAATTGGCACAAGGAATTTTCAAAGGAGCTGACAATCTCTTGTTAGAATCATGTTTATGAAGGTAAGCGCTCGGCATGGAAACAGATCATTTTGCTGGTAACTTGGTCCTTTTTATGTCTTCTATCAAACACAACACTGTATTTGCCCTATTAAGAGGCAATTGCTACATATTTCTACAGCTGAACTTTGATACTTATCTCAACACTTTTTATTCCGTGCATTGTTCATTTCTATCCCTCTTGGCTGCTGGTAAGTACTAGACTGGTTAATCAATGATTTTATGATGGAATTTTTCATTCGTGAAATAGGTTTTCTTGAAAATAATTTGAGCATTTCTGCTATATATCTTTTCTTGTTCCCAATGCATTCTATTCAATTTGATCTTGGCATTTTCAGAAAACAGCTTTGGTATTTTTCTGTATGCCTGAACTTTTGCCATTTCTTTAATGATGTATATCTTTGTCTTATGTGCATCTGAATGCTGCTGTGTATTCTTCAATACCTTTGGAAGATTCTAGTATAATAGTATATCACCTTAATTGGTTGACAAAGTGGAATGTTGTCATTTAGAAAGCAGTTTCTCTGTGGGTTTTGTGATATATATGAGACTATGAGAGTTAAGGCTGTATATATCTCGATATCCCCAGAGCTTGCTGTTGTTGAGGTTGCATAAGGCTATTGTTGTTGCTGTCCAATTTGTGAGATCCAACAGCTGTGAATGATAAAGTTGCCTGTGAGGTTCAAGGCCCTTCAAGCCCTTTCCTTTATTTATTTGTCTACTTATTTAAATTATAATATAGGTTGAGCTATTCTGAAGGCCTAACAACGTCATAATTCTTGCAAGATTAATTACTTAAATCTTGATCATAAATACAATGAGAGCTCTTATCCTATATACATCTGTTTATTGTTTTTCTGGTTAAGAATTTTGAGATTACCATTAAATTCTTCCAACAAGAAAGATTTATCTTGTTTATTTATCTCTCTTTTATCTGTGCTCTTGTTTCATATAAAATCAGCAATTCTCCCTTTTAGATGTTTTTCTGTATCGGAACATATGGTTCCTTGTTCCGCATTCACGAAGTTCTCCCCTCTTGTCCAGTTTTCTCCTTTTCCCCTTACCTTCAGATAGTCCATACCAACAACAGTGCCATTCAATGGTTATATCAAAACACACAGTTACTGATGCAGGCTTCTTGGAAGAGGGCCAGTATACAGTATCGTGTACAGATTTTTGCTCACGACTCCAATTATGCAGGGAGAAATGTAAACTTTTGTTACTCTGTACCTTCTTTTTTCCATCTTAACATTTCTTGTGTACTGAACCTCTTTAAATTATAGGATAAACCACTGCCCTTGTTCATCTCTATGTGTTCTAACTTCTAAGCAATTTGACATTCATGTTAGACTAGCAAAAGGCAAAAATTCTAGGTAAAAGTTCACTTTGTTTTCCAGTATGAGCCGGAGTACATATATAGTTTTTCTAGTGATAAATCTTATCTTGTTTCTTCTCTTTATTTCATTATTAGCATTAATAACACTATTTTTTTTTTGTGTAGGTGATGCTAATGCTAGAATGCCAGTGTGTTATCTTTTTTCTTTTGTATGTTGATCTGAAATTTGCCAGTTAGGCAGCAATATTACCATGCTCTTCACTTGTGATAGAACTTGGTAAGAAAACTGCATCCGATACATACTTCCTAATATGCTGATGCAAATTAGAGGCATATATTTTATTCTGTCAGAGGCCCAGAGCTAGCTTTTTCTTCTGAAGGGAAATTGTGTTATGCTTCTGTAGTATTGTCTGAATATATATCTTTGCTCCTTTTTTTCTCTCCCTTGTATTCATTTCTTTGGCTTCGAGGAGGGGGATGGGGGTGGAGATGGATCTCTGGACGCTTAATGTTAATAACCTTTGGCTTATGTCAAATCTCACTGAAGAAAGATTATAAGTTAGTGCACTAGACCGTGCACTAACTTTAGTGTAGACAAGCACTATGTAATAATTTGTATGTGGAAGGGTTGTATGATATCCTTATCTGATCTATTAGATAAAACAATGTAAGATCTGTGATATTATGTTTTTCTGTTATCCTCTTTGGTATATGCTCTTTGCCTTAAACTTTGTAAATCTTTCTATTGTCCCTTTATATGAATTGAACTCTTACCGTCCCTGTTGGAAGACTGATAGAGTTGTTTTTGTTTTGGATCGAAAACGATGAGTGCTTTATCAAATGAAACTTTTTCTTGGTAACCTCGAGGGAACCACTGAGAATATTTAAAGTCCATATAGCTGCCTAATCTTTTATGATGCTTATTATTATAGGAGAGTTTTACTTGGTGCTGATTCATTATTGGCTACTGCATGGCAGAGTGAACTAATTTGCTATGTGTCTATTAATGACTGCAGCTATCTCAAATCAATGTAATGACTTGTAGCTCATTATAATGTTTGTGAAGGATTTCTCCTTCAGCCTTTGCTTGCTAATGCAGATTTACTAGTGTACTCTGTAAAAACTTGGTTTCTTGATTTTCTTTTCTCCTGATTTCACCTATATCAATCAATATGTGCTCATAAGATGTGTTTCTATTAACTATTTGTTTCTATATTTTTGACTTTGTAATTTAGTGTGCATTTAATTTATTCGATCATTCAGGGGAATCTTGGAGGGCATTGCTTGTCTACTCATGCAGAAATGAACAAGTTCAACTATTGCGATGCATGCCCTGGAAGAAGTAGATTGTGAAACTGACGTGAGGTATCGTTGACAATACTTTATTATTTGTGATTGTGAATTGGCCTCTATTACTTCTGTGACTGGTTATCAGCTAAACTATCGATTTGCGGCTGTGATTTGCTTTTATTACATTGATTTAGGCTTAGAGCTAATACCCTGTCAACCATGATAAGGACGTGTAAGAGTGGACTGGATGTACATCATTGTTTGGCTTAGAAAAATGCCATTAAAAAACTTCTAATCACAATTCTTATAATAATACTTTAATATCTTGATTAACAATATTCTAAGGCTGCCTCTTCTATTCTGATTTCTACAAACATGCATCGCACTGGAGAATAGAGATATTTAATGTGGCACTGCAGAAATCATGATTTTTTTTTTAACTATTTGTACAAGCCACTGCATATTACGACCACAAGCAGGTTGAAGTGTTTATTTTCATTATTTAATGTTTATTTGAACATATTGTAAGTCTGTCACTTGATGTTATTCTCCTTTTAACCCGTGATGGAATTTAAATTAATGAGTTGATTAATATCTTATGTTGTGTTGCATAAAGGGAATTAAAGGTTTTTAGGTACTGGGTGGGGATAAATGATTTATATAGGAAAATCACCATCTCATGCTATTTTACCAAAAGTGAGATTCTTTTACTATGGTAAAAAATGATTGGGAAAAATCGTTATTTTTCAGCTAGATCTTAGATGCATTCATGGGGTTGAGATTCTTTAACTTCCTTTTTTGTTTTATCATTTTGAAGAAAACTTTCCATGAAAAGAGTGGTGGTTTGAACCCGCTTTGCACACACCTCTGTTTTATTTCTAGACATTCATCAATTCATCATAAGTGTTTATATATTAAAAATGTTCTCCAATATGGTTTAATTGGAAGCTAATAGTGACAAGTCCGTGACTGACCAGTTTAATTTAGGGGAACTGTAACTAGTTACTTTTTTTATTACATGGTGTGCAAATGTCTGAAGTACTGTGTTCCATTAGCAAATGCACTCGTATGTATTGCCATGATCTCTTGACCTCATAAGCTGTACTGAATAAACCAAGCATAAAGAGTGAACTTCAGAAAGATCATCCTGTTACTTGACTGTGTTTTACTTTTTTGTGATTGCCTTATATGTATGTTTCTTTGTAACTAACTCTTAATTTCTGTAGCATCCGTGAGAAGAGAAGACCTAAAATCCTTATTTTCAAAGTCAAGACTGAAATTATACTGCTGAAGTCATGGATCATATTCTGCATAAAGCCATAAACTGACTGAAGACTTTAAGACGACATTAACTTTGGCTTTAACCAACGAGGAATTCTTGGTCTCAAGTAGGTAGAGACCAAGGAGGTCTATAGTAAGGTTATTTTCGTAATTAAACGAAAAGTAAAAAAAAAAAGGGGGGGTACCTTATCTGTGAGTACTAACGATATATATATAGACAATACCATCCTAAATAATTTCAAAATACCATCCTACAACGTGTTGGTATCATCATAGTACTGCAGTTGGTATCATATTAAACAAATATTATTGTTGGTATAAGTAGCTTTGTAGTTGGGATCCTAATTAAAATTTTGTTGGTATTTAGCTGCGTTCGGTTGGTATCAGAGCCATAACGGTTAAAAAGCTAAATTAAGTTATAAATAATTAAGTAAAACTGAAGAATACTAGGCCCTCTACAGAGTGTAAGAAACCTGATTTTAAGCATTATTATCATATTCCTGAAAGCACTAATAATTTTGGCTCAGTCCTTAATTATATAGTAGATCAAATTGGCGAATTAAGATCGGAAGTTGATAACATACATGCTCGTTGTATTAATATCGAAAATAAGATATCAATAACCACAACCGATATTAATAAAAAAGTAAGCGATCTAAACGAACAGGTTAATCAGGTTCAACTTGCTTTAACAAACGAAGTTAGGCATCAACTCGGAAAAGAAGTATCACCTAATAAGGATAAAATCGTCCCATATAAATATAAATATCCTTTTCAAAACCTAGATAAAAATAAAAAGTTTACTGTAACACTCCCTAAAAGACCAATTAATAACCAAGAAAAGAATAGAGAAACTAAACATGAGCCCTCATCTTCAGGAGAAAACACTAAATGAATTACAGGGCCTATTCGACAAAGAAGAAGACCCTAATGAGCTTAACGAAATCATGAATTTAATTTCTAAAAAGGGGATTGCTTCTGATAATGAAATAGAGGAAATTAATTATGCTACTTTAGAGGAAGATTTATATCAACAAATGGGAATAATGAAGTTAAATGATCTTGACTTTCTACCCATAGAAGTTGTTCAACGAAAGATCGAAAACAAACTAGGAAAAAGAGTAATGGATAATAATGATGTTGGGGAAGAAATTATTAATGTAAACAATGTTATCCAAAGACCTAGGTACCAAGGAGAAGGAAGTTGCACACGACCAAGATACATACCAGGGAAGACTACCCTGTTTAGTGTCAAGGTTATGCCTACTCATACACCTAAACAAGAAGAAGTGACTCTTGAACCCATTAGTCAAACTGGTTATAAACTTAAATTAGACGGTGTAAGAGATAGACAGGATGTTTTAGATCAATGGAAGAAGAGTATGAGTAGTGTACTTAATTTAAATACTGAATGGACTTCAGAAAATTTCTTAAATTATATAGAACATAGTCTCTACGGCTGTATAGAAGATTGGTACGATGGAATAGATGAAGAAGTAAAGACTGCATTAAGAGCTAGTGAATCACCTACAAGAATGTTTAGGCAGTTATGTCAATATATTGAGTTAGAGTTTATTGGTCCTAGAGCCGATCCTAATGAGAAACGAATGGAATATCAAAGAAAGTTAAGTAATTTATCCATCTGTAATATGAAATATGTTGATGATTATATTATGGAATTTGAAACATATTATTATAAAATTGGTGAAAATGAAACAAATCTTGGAATGTTCTACGATAAATTACCCAGTCCTCTTAATGAAGAGATTAGTGAAAAATATCAAGAATGGAGAGAAAAAATTTTAGCTAGGGATGCCCTAGGTAATAGAATTGCTTTCCTTAGAAAGTGGATTGAAATGAAGTGTAGAGAGGTTGCAGGAACTCAACAAATGAAGAGACAATTTCTCACTTGTTGGGATTTCCCAAATAACTATGGATGCGAAAGAAAAAACTATATTAAAAGAAAGAGCTATAAGAAAAATAAATTTGACCGATCAAGAGGAGAAACCTATAAAAAGAAGTATTATAAACACAAATATAGAAAGCCAAGTAGGTTTTTCAGAAAGGCAACATATTGTCCTGAGAAAAAGAAAACATGCAAGTGTCGGTCTTGTGGAGAACTAGGACATTATGCTAATGAATGTAAGAAAGCTAATCATAAACTAATGGAAGCCTTAGGAAGTTGGGATTACATAGAAATACCAGAAGACGAGGCTTTAGAATTGGCTTTAAATAACAATAAAGGAATAGTAAAGATCGTAGAAGAGGAAAATGAGTATAATGAAGAACCTGAAGCTAATGATGAGTTTGAAGATGAAAATTATGAAGAAATAAATAACATGATGGAAGGAGAAGAATTAGAAAATTCAGAATCAGATGACAATGAGGAAGATAAAAGCAAAATGAAAATAGGTCAACTAAAAAGAGCTGAGTATTCATTTGAAGATAATGACCTAGATCAAGTAAACAAAGAAAGCTGGAATTTTCCCCAAATTACTAAAGATAAAATATTTAAAACTTATTTCTTTAAAACTAGAACTAAATATGTATGTGAAGAAATGGAAGGGAGTATAGTAATCGAAGATTGTGAACAAAAAGCAGCCGAAATTAATATCATAAACTGGAAAAGTATTAAAAAACATAAAGAGAAGGGAAATTATAGCTATATTTGTATTGGTACAGTACAAGTATACATAACTCCTTTGCAAGATTTTGGCAAGGATGTTAAATGCTTGAGTTTTATTTGTGATATTAGACATAAAGAATTTTATGATCAAATAATTAGTGGTATCACATGTAACTTAAGTCAAGGAACGGTAAGCTATATATGTGAACCTAGATATTATGTGAGCTTAGAGGATTCCTTTGCGTCAAAGTTCTTAGCTATCAAGCTATTAACAGAAGGAGTGAGGTATTGTAAATATCCCATACTAATTCGTCAAAAGACGGTTAGAAATCCAACTGAAGCAAGAGCATTGGGATTTTTCTACATTTCACAATATCTTAACGATTTTATAAAAAGGAAAGAAATTCCTCTTGTCATATTTCGTGTTGGAAACACAACAATTGTGGCACCTAATGAGATGAAAGAATATTTAGTAGATGGCATAAACAATACTGAGTCAATCTACAAATATTTAGAAGATATCGAAAGAGGAAAGTTTCTGTCATTTGAAGGCTATGAGTATCTGTTTGAAGCATTCATGAGTTGGGATGAAGAGTATGTAGCCAAGTGTGTCGCAGACCTTTGCAGAGAGAATCTTATTTACGAAGACAGTAAAGATAGTGAGGGAGGCCTACAAGAAATGATGATGGATGATATTATGAATGCATGAGCCCACATCAGCAATAATTCAAGGCATCTTTACTGTAGCCACGTTTTATTAATTGTTTCTGTCTTAAAGTATCTTTGTAGAAAAAGCAATGGTGTAGAATTGCTTGATAGGGATCCTATGTAAATTTGCTTCCCTATATAAAGGGACTTAGGTCAAGAAGTGAAGGCAGAGTTGGAAGAGTTAGCTAGAGAATTACTCTGAAAATAATAGAGAGACCTCTAGAGAAAAAATACTCACCTTAAGAGACAGGTTGGTTCTCCATCTCTCTTAAAGTAGAGAAAACTCTAGTTCAGCTTATGTCTGTTTAACCTTTCAGTTTGTGTGTTGTAAGATATAAGTGTTGTAACCTTTTTAATTTAAATAAAAAGTTTCGTTCAAGAAGGGAACGTTATCCCCTTGAACCTTATATATCAAATGAGTTATCTTTCTGTTTAAATATTTCCATCATAAACACAGTAAGGATTTTTTAGTTAGAGGTTACGGTCTAAGGTAGGAAACGAAATAGATTTGTGTTGAGCCTGATCTAAGGAAGACAGGGTTGGGGTTAGCTACCTTGGTAAAGCCGGAAGCTCAGAACGCCGGAGGTTCCATTGTCGACTAAGTTCAGGTATTGGTCAAAACTCTCTAGTTAAATAATAATTATTGCGAAGCATGGTGGGCTATTAAACTGTTAAAATAACCTATTTTGATGTATAAGTAGTAGAGTAGTGATAACTAGTACCGTTAAAAGTCATTAATCAAGAAACAAATAAACATTAGTTGACATCATACTATATATAAGTTTGTCAGTACCAGTAAGGTGTTAGATAGTATCAAAAGCAATACCATCTAAGAGTTAGTAGGTATCAAAAGTGAATACCATCTAAGCCTACCTTGGCTAGTGTTGGTATACCATCCACGTTGAAACCCGAACCAAACCACTAAAGACAAAAGTGTCGGCAAAAGTACACTTGGTCCCCACTTGGTAGAGACCAAAGTGGTATCAAGTAGGTAGAGGTTTAGAAATCCTCTTAACCAACAAAGCTACATGATGCACAATGGTTTGTCCTTACTCCTGAGGTAGACTCAGAAATTCAGATGTGTAATCGTTTTTCAATAGAAGATTACAATTGTATAATGTGCACTAATCTGAATATATTTGCATTCCAGCTGGTAAGTTAGGTCACTTACGCATTATTTATAAAGAAAATGCCTATTTGCCTGACTAGTTAAAACAACAAATAGAGGCTAAGCGCTCTGTATAGTGTTAGACTTGGTGTTTAGAGCACTGTTGACATATCTCCGCATTAACTGTTAGGCAACTAGCCGGACTCTATTAAGAATACTCCGACACTACAATAACGGAGTATTCGGCTGAGAAGTCAATAATGTGCAACTGCTCTTTTGTCTAAAATATACTTTTGTGGGGTTGTATAGTGTGCACATGTGCAAGGAATCCCAGGTTTCCATTTTTGTGTTTATGATTTGTGTATCCAAAATCAGAACCAAGTTGGCCCTACGTCAGAAACATTGTGGTCTACCGTCGACATGTTCTTGTTGGTTCTTAAAGGAATGAACCAACAGGCAGATTATATACTATAGTATTAATTTTTATTTGTTGTTTTATGTTACAGTTTATCATTGGATACCATACTAAGATTTCTGTAACACTTACAATAAGATGCGCAATTTTTGGATGTGTAGATCATCTTGTAAATTGTAATGTGAAAGAATGAAGTTTATGCACTTGTATATTGTATCTTGTAGAAGCTAGATCAAGTCGAAAACTTAATCATTGAGGATCTACAAACTTGATTATGTCCTCATATTTTTCACTTTCTTCTTTGACAATTAGACTGTAAACATTATGATGTTATTGGTGATAATGATGCGTCCAAATTGTTAACAAAGAGTGGTTAAATAAATATATATGTTGGTTGGATGTGATTATAAGAATAAGCTTTCATATTTGTACGGTTTTATTAAATAATTATTTTTATAATTTTTGTATAGGTAACATAAACATTGTCAACTGATAGGGAACTCCCCCAGATCCTTTAATTTCAAGGATGTGGGAGATTATCTTTAACCACTTGAGCTGGTAAAATGAGATGGTGGAATACTATTTGCTTTACGCAAAAGACGCAATTAATAACAAATGATATTAAATCTTCTTAAATCATTGATTTAGTAATTTGTTTCTATTAGAATATAGAATTTCTGAATGTAGCAATACAAGATTTATTCTAAATTCTCTCATATTTAAAAACTTAGGAAGTTAGGACTTCTTCTAATTGTTCTTCCTTTTAATAATTAGGGGTTGGACCTTTTACAATAAACTTTTGGATTAATATTATACAACTATCTTTTCTGCTGGCATTTTGGAATGTGAATCTATTAGTCTATTACTGAAGTTTTTCCATTTTAGGTTATAAAATGTGTCTTGACTATTGGAATTGAAGATAATTGGTAAGTCAGATGCTTTGTAAAAGTAGGGCATATTGAAGAAGCGGAAAAAGAAGGATATGAGCATCAAGCCCATCAAAAGTATTGCAACAAAATTAATATTCTTGGTAAAACAAATGAATCTAGCTTTCTAAATACTAACGAAATTCAAATTGGAGAAAACGTAATACTCTAGATTAATCAAGTCTAATTACATGATCTATATCGATAATGTACTACAAATGCTTTATTACTCCGTGATTAATCCCATTCATGAAATCAACCATTCAACCTATTATTCATCAACCGAAGAGTAAATCATGTTTATTAATTTAACTCCTTAGACCTCCACTCCTCAAATTTATGCATAATTTAAGACCGAACATCTTCCATGATTCTTGTCAACAATAAATAATCTCATCAAGACTTTACTAATTTCCCTAATAAATGATTAATCTAATTTCAAATTTTTAATCTAATTCAAAAAGTATACTCCATAGTCCATATGTTTCTAGTCAACACATGATTTTATCATTTTATGGTTGATTCATGGTAAACAATCATAATTCAACAACCTTTTTATTTATTTTTTTTGAATGAAACAACCAAGAAATTTAATCCACCTTCAATTATTTAAAAAAAAAAAAGAAAAGAAAAACAGGATAAAATGAAAAAAAAAATGAAGAAACGTAGAACAGGTGAAAGACAAAAGGTAAAGTTGATCCACTCTCAAAAATCAAAATCAGTCCATCAAGTTTCTCTCTCTTCTTTCTCTCTCCTCTTTCTCTGCACAACTCAGTTTTCTTCAGAAGACAATTACTCTTACAGGGGTAGCTGCCACGTTTTTTTCCTCCAATTTCATTATTTTCCCTTTTTTATTACTCAATTATTTTCATGGCTGCTGCTCTTTTTCCCTCCTTTCTCTGTTCTTGATTTTCAATTTCTGGGGTTTTCTGCTAAATTTCCAATTACCCTAATCATAATCAGTAGCAATTTTAAACACCCAGAAAAAATTTCATGGTAGAAACCCCAATAACCCTTAAAAATCCCACCTTTTTCAGTTTTAGAGGGAAGAAGTAGCGAAGAGAGAGAAAAGGAGGCGGAGATGGGCAATTCATTTGGTTGCTCCGCCTCCGGTGAGCGGCTTGTGTCGGCTGCAAGAGACGGTGATTTGGTTGAAGCTAAGATGCTTCTAGAATGTAACCCTTGTCTTGCTAAATACTCTACTTTTGGTGGTCTTAATTCTCCTCTTCATTTTGCTGCTGCTAAGGGTCATAATGAGGTATTTCCCACTTCAATTTTTTTGTTTTTATTACAAATTTTTTAGTTTTTCAACATATTTATATTCTTGGGTTTTGTTTGTTTATTGAATTTTGATGTTAGATTGTGGCATTGTTGCTTGAGAATGGGGCTGATGTCAATTCCAGAAATTATTGTGGACAGGTATTGAATTTTATTTGATTAATTTGGTGTTGGAATGTTTGTATTTCTTGTGGGTTTTGTTAATTTTGGTGTTCTAATGGATGATCATTGGTTAAGGATGCTGTTGAGCTCTAAAGTCTAAACTTGTGAATTTTGTGAAACATATAATTTTTCTTATTTAATTGTCGACACTAAAGTAGAAATTTAGGAATGAGTTGATTGATTGTTTTTCATGATTATTCGAAGACGGCGTTGATGCAAGCATGTAGATATGGGCACTGGGAGGTTGTGCAAACTCTTCTGCTCTTCAGATGTAATGTGAGTTTTTGACTACTATTAGTTTACAGATTACAAGGATGCTATTTATGTTCTCTGGTTTTTGGTACTTCTGATTTTGATTTTGTGTAAAAGTTGTGTCTGCTCAATTTGGAGCTTTGAGTTTTGAGGTTTTTACTGTTGTGTTGCAGGTTACTAGAGCAGACTACCTCAGTGGTAGAACAGCTCTTCATTTTGCGGCTGTTAATGGCCACGTGAGATGCATAAGGCTGTTGTTTGCTGATTTTGTCCCAAGTGCACCGTTAGATTCTTTGAGTGCTTTAAGTGCCGAGGGTGGTGAAGGTTCCAATGGGAAAAACAGGTATGACCAGTTACCATGGCCTTTATTCATCTACCGTTCTGTGTAACTTGTGGCAGTCAGTATGATGAATTGTACAGCTATGCATGTTGATTGCCATTTCTCAGACATGGATTTATGTGATAGTAGAGGACAGAAAGAATAGTAGAAAACGGAGGAGAGATGCTAGTAAACTCTTAATTCTGAAAATCAGTATGTGTTTCTTGATAAGTTAGCAAACTGACTAGTTGAGTGAGAATGTGCTCAAATGAATCAAACAAACTCTAACCTTAAATAGTTTCAAGTTGATGTTGAGGCCCTACGACAGGCTTATAGTCGAAATTGGATTGACACTTTGACAGTGACCAGGGTGATATGAGAAACTTGAGTGTAGACTATAGACTTTTAAGTTGCATGGTATTGCATGAGTACCAATCTTAAATCATAGAGTGAATTATATAATTTGCAAATTTTGAAAGGACTATCAACCTGTAGATCAGGGGGAAGTCTTCACATACACTTTATTTTTTATTTTCTATGAAGGAAGACATGATGTACATTCAGTCGATGTGTTGCTGGTAACTCATCCTTTTCTAATGGCTAGACCAAGGAGGCTCTAAGTTGTCATATTTACCTCTGAAGCAGGTGGCATAAGCTAATATATATCCCAGTATTAAGTGGTAAATACTGATTTGGAAGTTTCAAGCAAGTTTGTGTTACTACATTCAGTTACATTGTGGTTTAGTAGATGATACCTTTGGTAGCAAAGTAAGTAGTGGTTTCAAAATATAGGCTAGGGTCTAGGGGTTCTGCTTGAGCAGAGCAACTTGCGGGCAGCTCAAACTCGACTCGAGTTGGCTCGTGTTCGCTCGAATCAGCTCGAAACTCGATAAGTGTACAAGAAATTCAAATTTTTTTTGTTCTTCTCTCTTTAGTTACTAGGCTCAAGACATTAGTAACTATGACATTAGGCTAATTGCGACTTTTATTGAAAACTTGGGTCTCAATAAAAGTTTTATAGACTTCTTTGAAAGCATTGCCTTTTGAGGTAAGCAAGTGAGTTTAAGAAGCTCTGCAAAAGCCATCGAATATGGTGTGGAAGCTATTGATGGGTAAGGGTCTTGGGTCTTACAAGTCTACTGAATAATTAAGCTGCCTTTGATTGAACAAGGTCAACTGCCTCAGGATTCTGGAAGTTACTGTACAGAAGTCATTTTTTTGGGGGGGACCTTAACCAGAGGAATCAGCATTGGCTTGCCTTGTACAATTGGAATTTTAATAAAGTAAAAGATGTTAACTTGTTTGGTACTTTGGCTGTCCTAATTCCATGTTTCTTTATCTTTATAATGAGAAGATCCTAGCTTACTTTTGTCTGTTTTAACATTTATAAGACATTGGAAACTTCTGTTTGCAAGATGTTTGTGCGGTCTATAATTAATGAGTTAAAAACTGCTTGCTATTTTTTATGGGCTATAGGCATTGCCAGATGCTGCAATGATGTGGTATCCTGACTTTTGATCTGTGTGTATTGGGTATATTCCATTTCATTGTACCAACAGGGTATTACATTTTATCTGGCAGGCATGCATTCTAATCATCTTCTGTGTTGTCAGTTGTAGTTAGAGTGTAATATTAGAATGTATATTGGTCATATCAAAGGGAAAGACTTTCTTCCTTCTTTTTTTTGGTGGTTGATCATTCGTAGAAGTTACAAATATAGACCAAGTTAATTTTCTGTCTTGCAGTGCATATATTTTGTCATTAGAGATTATGGTTAAAGTTGTCATTTTGTGTATTTCATCTTGGGTAGTGATTAGATTTCCTAAACAAATTGGTTGGGGAATGGAAAGGTTGATATACAAGTTAATCAGAAGATTATATTCATAGCTGTGGAGGCCACTAACCCCCAAATCATTTTGGGACTTAGGCTTTGTTGTTGTTGTAGAGGCCACTAACCATGATAATTTCAACTCTTGGTCTTTTCAGTGCTGTGGCAAAGTTTGTAAATAAGCCAGCTGATGGTGGCATTACAGCCCTTCACATGGCTGCATTAAATGGGTATTTTGACTGCATGCAGCTTCTCCTTGATCTCCAGGCAAATGTATCAGTTGTGACGTTTCATTATGGCACTTCTATGGACTTAATAGGTTAGATCTTTAATTGCACTTAATTGTCTGTTAACCTTCCTCAAATAGTAGCTAATGTTTGCATCAAAACCTGTTAATTAAACGTGTCTATAATCCACAGGAGCTGGAAGTACACCTTTGCATTATGCTGCTTGTGGGGGAAATCTGAAATGCTGCCAGGTGATCAATTTTACCTTTAATGACTTTAAACGCATAATTATATTGTTGAGCATTGAATAGATATATATTTTATTCTCAGATTCTCCTTGCAAGAGGTGCCAGTCGCTTGACTTTGAACTGCAATGGGTAAATTATATTGGACAGCCCTTCTAAGCTTCGTCATTCTTTTAATATGCAAGCTTATTAATTGTTCGCTTTCTTTCAGATGGCTTCCAGTTGATGTTGCAAAAATGTGGGGACGTCTTTGGCTTGAACCTTTACTTGCACCAAGTTCTGATTCTATAATTCCAGTATTTCCTCCTTCAAACTACCTATCTTTGCCTCTAATGAGTGTACTCGACATAGCAAGGTAAGCTCCAATATTTTATGCCGCTACATTGGCTGTAGCTCATATGAGTGGGCTTAGTGGGCATGCCTTGATTAAAGAGCCTATTGCTTGTATTGTGAGTTTGTGACATGCTAATGTCAGCTAAAAGACACGAAGTTTTAGTGGAGGCAATGGAACAGTATTTTATTGAATCAACTCAATGATAAATGTAAACTGAAGGCTGACATGATGTGAACCACCTATATTGCTCCTCATCTGGAAATAAGTTGCTAGTGGCAAAATTATCTTTTTATATAGTAATTTCATTATAAATTATTTAGAGTAATTGGGAAGGCTAGAGGTACTCAATTATTATATTGGTAAAGGGTTTCAAGTCCCAAAATTGTGATGGTCTTAGGACTGTGACTTTTTATTCTAGACAGGAATTATTTCCTTCGTGTTTTTTTTTTTTTTTTTTTTCCTTTTTCTTTTTACCTTGGCTGGAAAGATGCGGACTTTATAGTTGAGAAAATCATGTTGAATTATTTGTTCTCTTTGACATCTCTGTCTTATAGCCTGTTTCTGTGGGATGGTACCAAATCTTCTCGTGAAGTTCCTTCGTTTCATCTCCATCTACAAACTGTCATGGTGGAAATGATGTTTTCAGCAACTACAATAAATAGGCATGCTGTTAGTTTCTGGAATGCCGCTTCTATTCAAGTGTTCTTCTAAAAGTTAAACAAGGAAATACACATATCACATTAAAGATGAATTTCTAGGATAATTGCTTAAGAATTTCTTAAAGTCAATTTGATGGTTTGTGTTTCCCCTTGGTTCAGTGGAAATTTTTTCATGAAGTGGTTATAGTCTGGACTGAGACTAACTGGGTTTATGTTTGTGATGATTCTCAGAGAAAATGGGTTGCAGGCTTCAGTATCCTCCTTTGATGCGTCAGATACCTGTGCTGTATGCTTGGAGAGAGCATGTAGTGTAGCTGCGGAAGGTATTTTATTGACTTTTATTGATCCACTCAAGTTTGTCTGATGTTTCAATCTCAACTAGACCAACTGTCACAATCCTAATTACTCCCTTCCCTGAGGGGGTAAAAATGCACTAGGGCCAGAAAATGTGAACAAAATACCCCAGTATGGTAGGGCATCAGATATTCACTATATTTCTTCTTTGCTCTTTCTCCAGTTTTTGATATATTGAAAAGCTGAGCTTAGATTGATGTATTTTATTACTGTTTATCATTTGCTTAATGGAATTTCCATGCAAATCTTCAAACATGCTTATCTGTTATTCTGAAACTACTCACATTTTAGGACCATTAACCAGGAGTTTAGAACATATTAGGGCCATTAATAGGACCAAATAGTATCTCTATCATGCTTAACACAGCCCTAGATAAGATCAGCTGCAGAAGCATGTGCCACTCTTAGTATTGCTGATAATTGAACAAAACAGAAAATCAAGAAGGATAATGCTGATGACATATAAGTAAACGAGGGATAAAAAAAATTGTGATAAGTATTTCCCATTAAGGGATTTATGTGAGACTTGTGACTACAGACTCCCTCTTCCCTAGCTTTTTGTGGTTACATGTCCTCTTTCCCAAAATTTTGTTTATGGAATTAAAAATGAGCTATAACTGCTTCACTTCATGGAGTACTCAGTAGCCAATTCTTATGTAAGTACAGGGCTTTGAATACTTTTGCCGTTGGGAAGCCAAATGTGACCTTGAGATTGAACTTTATAGAGCACAATTTCTTCAGGGACCTTTTTTGTAAAAAATCAAAATAACAAACCTCCAGATATCTGAAACTTGTAACTGCTCTATGTGGCTCGGACTATATAATCATAGCTCCTTTTTTTTTCAAGAAACTAAAGCTGGGTGCCTAAAGGTCTGTTATTCATTTTTCTTGGGAGAAATAAATCACACTTGGCCCTATAGAAGTTTTAGGTTGCTGAAGTTTATGATGTTGGGTCTCCACCCTCCAGTTAAACTTCCCTAGTAAATTCAGCTTCAGAGTGAGCAAACTTCCCTGAAAGTGCCCTCATTTCCTAACCCTGTGCTGAAAGTAGGCTCTTTTGAGTATTGAGGCATTAGATTAATTGGTATTGAAGACTTCAAAATTGTCTGGCATAGAAGACTAGAAGTTACCTTTGTTGCTCTAATAACCATCCAATTTTTCTGGATATAATAGCTGGTATCCAGGCATGATGGTAAGACCAAAGAAACTCTATTGCAAACCTAAAGTTTTAAGCATCAACCTGTTTTTATTTATCTTTTTATTTTTTATTTTTTTGCATGACTGCTTCCACTGTATCATTACCGTGATTGTTTAGCTTCTAGGTAATGAAATTTGATAGTGTTTGATTTCATGCCCAATATCTACCCTCTCCTCCTAGGATTATTATTTTTACATCCTAGGTAATTTGGATTAATAACAAGTACTAGTACATAATACCATCCATTCCTATGCAGGTTGTGGACACCAACTTTGTGTCAAATGTGCACTCTATCTTTGCTCCACATGTAACATTTCTTCTGAGGTGGTTGGGCCACCAGGGTCAATTCCCTGCCCACTTTGCAGACACGGGATTGTCTCCTTTGTTAAACTTCCGGGTTCTCTCGAAAAAGAAATAAAACTTCCGCTCTCTCTTGGCTTCTGCACACCTTGTATGCTTCATCCACGTGATTCTGATCGGTCAACAGCCACTTCTACACCAGACATTCGGAAGAATCGGGTAGCTTCAGTTTCCTCAGATATGTTCTGCCCTGTCTCTTGCAGTCCATTTCCCTCAGCTGCGATCCCCCTGTGCCATTGCAACGAGGGTCCATGCCCATCTTTTGAACCCCGAGATATGGAGAGAGCAGTTGAGTCTCCCCGTCATTCACAAGGAACAGTGGACTCAGATAAAATGGAAGGTCCTAGACTGGAAAGAACAAGCTGTTCGAGCATGTTCTGGGGAAGGAGGAGTTGCAGCAGAGAACATCAGTGCAATTCTGAGATTAATGCTTAGTACAAAATTAGACATTCATTGTGTGTTTCTGAGTCTTTGACCTTCTATGCAATCAGCTTCCTGCTGATATATTTAGAAATCATGTTGGGGGTGTTTATTCGATAGAATTAGGGTTAAAAAAAATGGTGTCGCAAAGCGCAAGGTTTCAAATTTCTGCTGTAGTGTTTAGAGGTTTTGAAATTAGGGGTCTGTAAATTTTGATGTCCAAAGAATTGGTTGGATTGCTCTCTACTTCCTGTTTATCCCACTTGTACACAGGTTCACACGTTGATTGTTTAAACATGAAGATTGATCTGTAAGATAGAACTTGTGCCGAAAATCTTCTACACTCTCCTTTTCCTTTAGTTTTATACTTTATCCGTCTCAAATTAATTTAATAATTCGATAAAATTTCTTCTAATGTAGATCATCAATAAATAAATCTTGAGACATTAGGATTTAGCTATATTGCACTTCACGTAAGATTATAAAAGCTCATTTTTCCAACGTAGATTATCAAAACCAACTGTATAAGAGATAAGACTAAAGTTTGTGCCGGTCCTGAAAACCCGATTAAAATTGTGCACAATTAAGGGTCTTAAACACACTTTTTACGACCTCAAAACATACAAGGTTAACAATACGGAGTAGGAAAATACAGTAAATACGGAGTATGAGGTAAATAGGAAATGATTTGCGATTTGTGACCCAAAAAAAACAACCAAACTAAACTAATCTCGAGTTTACCTCAATCCAAAAGTGATCGATCAGATTAACTAATTTGACAGGTTTGGTGAAGTGCATACTGATACAAGTGATGGGACATTCGGTTGATATTAGTACTACGTACGGAGTATAATATCCCAGCAATAGTACAGACTACAATCTACAGAGGTATGCATGGAAGAGGGGGGGGGGGGGGGGGCTCCGATTTCAAATTTGCAATGCCACCACTTAATGACATAAGTGTGCTACTCCTTTTTATTTACGGAGTACTCCTTTCATTCCCAAATATAGAGTTTTTACGGACTAAATAGGGAGTATTTTATTTTAAATGATTTTTATGACGTATATTTGTTCATAATACTTGTCCTTAGGTAATAACAAAACTTACCGTATAAAATATGATATTGTTAAATCACATATTGAGACAAATTTAATAATATCTTACGTGAAAAATGCTACGTAGACACTTTTTGTTTTGTGACAGTTCGAGTATTAAACAAGTAAATCACATCAAAGATTAAAGGACATACAATAACACATGAATAACATTACATAGCTAATAATTTCTGAAATACAATCATTCAGAAATCTAAGCTAGTTCCTCTTATGAAACACAACCATTTCTTAATTTACCCTTCCAAATTAAACCTACGTACCCTTTTCCCAATTAAAAACGTACACAACATGCATGTAACATAAAATATAATACTAGCTAGACACCTTAATAATAACGTACATTATAACATAATGTGTATATATTTATATATCTTGCTTAGCTTAATTATGATTTATGATAATAATTAATTATGTTGATCATCTTCTTCTGGCAGCAGTCTCTCTTTGTGCATTGAAGTAGACGACGGCGACCGGGAGGCCGAGGCCATTTTCAGCAGCAAACCTCCTAGTGTTGAAACAGTCACGTGACGACGGTGTCCTCACTGTCTGCCTTCCTCTTGTTTGCTTGAACAATATAAATATGTACCTATGTATTCCCACCACTGGCTTTGGTGTTTCATAGCACACTATTTCTTTACCTACATGTTCAATTTTTTAAACACATTAGATTATCAAAACAATAATTATATTTTTTAAATATTATTTACTAATATATATACATAATAACTAATACTTGTACGATTATTTGCTAATATGATTAAACTAATATTAGTACTTGTACTTTTATTTATGCTTATAGTTGGCAAGGCATCATATACGAGGAATGTTTGTAAATAAGATAAGAGATAGCTAAAAAAAAAAATATATATTAATAATTGAAATTCTTTTTTTTTTTTTTTTTTGTAAAAAAAATAAATTACTATTGCTTTGTAATAAAGTTGTTAATGTGATTAAATGAAGAAAAAATTTCATTGGACTAGAACTCTAGAAGATGCGAACCAATGACATAAAATTAAGATAATATTATTCAACTTTATTTATATGCATAGTGGATGGAAGCAAACACAAGGATTTTTCAAAAGAAATTTTGTAGATGCCTACATCAAATATTATCACTTGCTTTGTCCACTACTAGCAACAACCACGCAATAACATTACTAGTTCAAATTTCGTTGCATTGTGAGATTAATACTTACCAAATGTAATATCAGTTGTTCCGGGAATATCTGTCACAATCCTACAAGATGTACGGAAATAAAAGATAAATACATTAAGCTACATTATAAATTCACAATTATTACTTCTAACAAAAAAGTTGAAGAAAATATAAGATATTTGGTGGGTTATAGAAATACTAACCAATGGAGATGTTCTCTTAGATATGGGTCGCTAGGGCTTGGTGCATCTGGGTCTACCATGATCTACAAAACAAAACCATAACATACATAATCAAAACTATGGTAAGTAATTACTGTGTATATATATAATGAAAAATGAATTAAGTTGAAATACATCTTGTGCATCCAAATATAACAATGTGAACTCATGTTTTTCAGTTGTTACGTTACGAATTCAAATTAAAATGTCGATAGTAATTACAGTAAAATCCGGAAAAAGCTAAGTATTGTTTCTTTTCTTTTACATGCAACTAACATAAACAACCATGCATCTAGTTAGCTAGTAAAGGGTTGATAGTGGTGAAACTTACCAAAGTATAAGCGGACCTCATGTCTTCACCACCAATCTCGACTCGAGGTTTGGAAGTAACAACAGCAGGCATAAGCTCATGGCCATTGGAAACTTGCTTGCTTGAGTTGTAAGTCACATCTAACCTCACACTTGGGTTGAAAATGTCAACCACCTCTCCTATAACCCTTCCTATTATCAAAGGCTCTACTCCTCTTGCCATGAAGATAAAAATATAACTAAGTGATGAATTGAAATATTAAGTAACAAGTTACAATCCAAATAAGTGTATACTAGACAAATACAAGTTTCTTCTCTTTTATCTTTGGTGCAATATAATGGCTATTACCTACATGTATGGCCTTTTTATAGACACACAATTTTTAGAGAGAGAAAAAGAGAGCCCAAAAATAGGGAGCTAGTGAGAGAATAGATTTTTTTTTTTTTTTTTTTTTTTTTTTGTGTAGAAGCTTAATATTTCCTCCGTCCCAAATTACTTGCAACGATTTAACTTTTTGCACTATTTACACATCTCCTTTTGACCATCTTTTTTAACTATTATATGAAAGTCAATGTAATCATATAAGATGTTGTTGGGTCTATTTTAATGTATAGTTTCTAAATATAAACTTTTTATAACCTATATAAATATATAATAAAAGATATAGACGGTCAAACATGTGCATCGGCAAGCGTATCCAGTCAAAATGTTGCAAATAAATTGGGACAGAGGGAGTAATATTTTAGAATGAATTTGGACATAACCATCAAGATTTGTACAGCTATCATGAAAAAACACACACGTTTGAATAAATTCAATAGATGCAACAAGTTGAGACAATATGTAGTGTTAGAGATGCCCTTTTTTCTTTTTGGAAATCTCTCTTACAATAGCTAAGATACCCTTTCTAGTTTTGAATCAATTATATAAGAGAAACTCGTAGTTGATTCCAGTGGTTTGAATATAAAATCTAATTTACGTGTTTTACTTTACACTTATCCCCTATATTAAGTCGAGAAAATATTTAGTTTGCATATATCCAGGCCAACACATACACATGAAATAGGGTTTAAAAGTCTGGTGATCCATGAGAGTGTTAAGTTTTATTGTAGTCGTGAATATAATAAAAGTAAATCAGAGTGCAAGAATCTATTTGTCAATGGCTTATTGGCTATTAAGAGTGGAGAATTTACTTTTTGTCTAATTAAAAATCATTATCTTTTGGACGAATAGGAATTCAGCTTTTTGTTCATAAAACATGACTTTGATGAAAAAATATATTATCAAGAAGCATGGGATATGTTGCTAATCATATAAATTACTCATGCAAAAGAAACAAGAAGGACAGCTGCTTATCTTATTGGGGGATGCTTTACTTGATTTAGTAGTGAAAAGACTTGTTTTTTTAATGTCATTTCTTAGATTATTGTTGGAGAATGTCAGGGAGAACCAAAATTTTCCTTAATAGGAATAATAAATTTTTTGACATTATTTATTATTTGTATCATTTTTGACAAAAATGTTTTTTTGCTTATTTAATTATAGATTATTATTATTATTATTATTATTATTATTATTATTATTATTATTATTATTATTATTATTATTCAACTAGGCCGGTTCATGCATATGTAAAGAGTCATATTTCATGTACATCGTCCAATCAATATTCTTCTCCAAGTTTAAGGCCGCCAAATCAATAGTCATGCTATTGTAAATTAACTAAATTTGTATGGGAAGTAATTTATATAAATTGTAATGTACAATAATCAATCATCAAGTGAGTGAGTGACATTTAATGCTCAATCAAACTATTCAAAAATAAAATGATGATAATAAAATTGAAAAGTGATACGAAGTAGGAAGTATATGATGAGTAAAAAATTATATTTAAAGTTTATATTATATATGCTCTAAAATTATAATTATTAGTATTCGTAATTTTGTAAGATGTTCTAATATCTTCATTCATAAAGACTAACTATAAAAGCGTTAATTATATATTTATATTTGAGATGAGATTGAATGATTAGAAATGCATGATAAAATTATTTTCAATTGATGTTATTAATATCTTATGATGTTTTACTTTTGTGTGTATGTTGTACTTCGATCCATATATTTTCTTCTTAAAATCAATGAGGGAGTAGATTAATTTCGCAAATTGATGTTCTAAATCATCAAATAAATAAAAAGAGGGAATATAAATTCTGGACATTATCTCATGTAATTAAGAACAGTGCAATTATCAAATATAAAACATCCTTTATAGTGGAATCTTCATAGAGATTACAAGTTGATCAAGTTGAAACACTATTCTTGATAATCTTGTTAAATAACTGATACTAAGTACAATTAGACTAGTAATAAAAACAAACAAAAATCTCATTGAAAATTGTACTATTAAAAATAAATTTGTACGTAAAAGAGACATGAACTGATAAATATTAACTTGTATAAGTATATATTAATCACAAAAACCACCTAATACATACCGAAAACGTTATAAGTAAAGAACAACCAAAGTGTACGATAAACATTTGTACGGCCGATTCTGATGTATTCTCATTAGAACTGTCAAAAGTTGACTCAACTCGAAATACCGACTCAAACCCGATTATTAACCGAACCATCTGAACCCGAAAAAATGGTGACCCAAACGTGACATGACCCGACCTGAAACCAACCCTAGACCCAAGTTGACCCGAGTATGTGAGACCGGACCCGAACATGAACTGACCTGGAGATGACCCGACCCGAATGTAACCCGTAAATATTTGACCTGAACCGAACCCGATTGGAACCGAAATTGATCCAAACCCATTTTAACCTGTCAAAACCCGAATTTGATACGACTTGTTACTAAATTGACCTGAAATCAACCCGACTTCTTCCTAACCCGACCCGAATTTAACCCAACCTGTTACAAACTTGACCCGAAATCAACCCAACTTGTTATTAACCTGACCCAAATTCAGCCCGACTTGTTATTGAACCGACCCGAATTTTACCAGACCTATTACTAACCCGACCAAAAAATTCAACCCGATCTGCTACTAACCCGACTCGAAATCAACACGACTTGTTATTGACCCGACCTAAATTCATCCAAAACTGTTCCTGACCCGATTTCAAATCACCTTAAATGCAATTTAGACCACCTAATTATTGTCGATCAAAGAATTTTGTCTAGGGAGACCAAGTCGGTCCAAGCCAACAAATTAAAGAAAGGAGCATCATCCTCAAATTTGAGAGTTAAATATAGTATATATTTGTTGTATGATCAAAGAAGATAATTATTTTCCTAATTTATAGACTATAATATAGTTCCCTGGTATATTGCCATATATATTATAGTCAAAGGAAATAATTAACTTGATAAAAATGATAATTATCTATTTATAGTTAGTTGAATTCGAATATGACTTGACTTGGAAATGACCCGACCTGATTGTAACCTGTAAATTATTGACTTGAACATAACCCGACTTGAATCCGAGAATAACCCGACTTGGAAATGACTCAACCTGATTATTACCCGCAAATTATTGACTTGAACCGAACCCGATTTGAACCCAAAAATGACCCGACCTGATTATAACCCACAAACTATTGACTTGAAACGAACCCGACTCAAACCCGAGAATGACCCGGCCTGATTCTAACCCGTAAATTATTTACTTGAACCGATCTCGACTCGAACTTGAGAATTACCCTAACCCGTGAAAACTCGAATTAAACCTGACCTATTGTTCACACAACCCGAATGTAACTCGACCAGTTATTAACCCAACCCAAACCGATAAGAAGTATGACCCGACATGCAACTCAAGCACGACAAAACAAAAACCCGACCCGCATAGGTTATGCCGTTATGGAATTAATCCGAGTCGACCCGACCCACTTATACTGACCAAAACCCGACCCGTTTACCCGAATTGACAGCTCTACCCAAAACCTCCAAAACTTCTTAAAAAGCGTGGATATTAGCCTTCAATTTTGCAATTTTTTGACTTTTTTTCACCTGCAAATAAAAATTGCCGAAATGTTTACCATGGTCCCTAATACCCTCCAGGAGTCCAATTGGTTGGGTGGAACCATCCAATTTACCTTTAAACTACCAATTTACCAGTTTACAACTTGCACCGATTTCATTAAATCAAGCCTACCACGAACATTTATGACAACATATATTGATAATATATGGTTCCAAACGACATTATATGACCCCGAGATGTATCCCCTAAAATCTCAATGCTTTTCGACACCGGGCCCGAAATATTCAGAAATTCTCAAAAAGAGTGGGATATTAGCCTTCAATTTTGGAATTTTTTACTTTTTTTCGCTCGGATATAAAAATTGTCGAAATGGTTACCATGGTCCCTAATACCCTCCGGGAGTCCAATTGGGTGGGTGGAACCATCCAATTTGCCTTTAAACGACTGATTTACCGGTTTACAACTTACACCGATTTCATTAATTCAAGCCTACCACGAACATTTATGACAACAAATAATGATCATATATGGTTCCAAATGACATTATATGACCCCGAGATGTATTCCCAAGAATTTCAAAACTTTCCGACACCGGACCCCGAATACTCAAAAAATTCTCAAAAAACGTGGATATAGCCTTCAATTTTTGAATTTTTTGACTTTGTTTTGCCTGTAAATGAAAATTGCTGAAATGTTTACCATGGTATCTAATACCCTACGGGAGTCCAATTGGGTGGGTGGAATCATCCAATCTACCTTTAAACGGCCAATTTACCAGTTTACAACTAGCGTCGATTTCATTAACTCAAGCCTACTACGAATATTTACGACAACATATAATGATCGTATATGGTTCAAAACAGAATTATATAAACCCGAGATATATCCCCTAAAATCTAAAGACTTTTTGACCCCGGACTCTAAAACCTCCAAAATTTCTCAAAAAACGTGGATATTAGCTTTCAATTTTGGATGTTTTTAACTTTTTTTGGATCGGAAATAAAAATTGTCGAAATGTTTACCATGGTCCCTAATACCCTCCGTGAGTCCAATTGGGTGGGTGGAACCATTCTATTTGTCATTAAACGACCAATTTACCGGTTTACAAGTTGCACCGATTTAATTAACTCAAGCCTACTACGAATATTTACGACAACATATAATGATTATATATGGTTCCAAACGACATTATATGACCTCGAGATGTATCCCCTAAAATCTCAAGACTTTTCGACAACGGCCCCAAAGTCTCCAAAATTTCTTAAAAAAACATGGATATTAGCCTTCAATTTTGAAATTTTTTGACTTTTTTTTACCCAGAAATAAAAATTGCCGAAATATTTACCAT